TATTGTTGTCAAACAGATTAGCTAAGAAGTCCAAAGATGATAAATGGATGTTAGATATGTGAACATAACTTGGGTTAAAAGTCTTTAGTTCTTTTTTAAACTTGGAACTTTTCTTCTTTTTTGTTTTTCTTTTTAGTAGATATTGGATTGGAATACTAGTAAATGAGAAATGTATTTGATTTTATTTGTAACTATTGTAGTGAGGAGTCTATTTGTCTAGCATTAGAAAAATGAAAATATCTTGAATTGTGTCGAGATGGTCAGATTGAAATTACTACTGAAGAAGAAAGAAGATATTGACTTTCATCAAATTTGGAGATTCTTTCTTTTAATATTGGTCAAGAAAAACAGGACTTTGTAAGAAATGGACTGATCTTACCGCTGAAGGAGAAAGAAGATAGTGACTTCTATCAAATATGGAACCCCGTTTTTTTTTTTTGGCTGGAGAAACGGGACTTGGTTTAGATCTAAAAATGTTTTTAAGTTATCATAAATGGATCTGAATATGATTACAGAATGTTAAAAGATATGTGGTAAGGGGCTGACCCAGTAGTTCTGATGTATGTGATGACTGATGTTTTTAGTATTTGTTTAAAATTTTAATTAAAAATTATTTTAAAAAAAGATTCAAAATGCATTTGCTGCATTTCTGCCTGTCATATTACTGTCAAAGAGCCTCTTTTGAAAAGAGCAAATGACAGCTCTAATTTGCACTTGCCAAGTATGGGTGTCATAGGCTAGGGCACTGGTGCAGGGAGACTGTGGAGCAGCTGCAAAGCTTGAAAAGAAGCAGTGGGGTGGGCAGGTTGCAGTCCTCCATATGTTCAGGCCCTCAACTCCCATCATTCCTCACTATTGCCTATGTTGGCTAGGGTTGATGAGAGTTGTAGGCCAAAATATCTGGATGGCCACAAGCTGCTCACTCTTGCTTTGGTGGATACAAATGCAGCTGCCCTTGCAATGCAAGATGTCATGTTAGGATGAACAGACAAGCATGTGATATTTTATTCATCATTAAAGAACTCAGCAAAATTACTTCTGCAAAGTGCCCTCCTGCCAGACATAAGCATCCATCACCAAGTACTAGGGAGCATCAGCATGAAAGCAAAAAAGGTGCATTAGTCTCTACGGTGCAATAAGACTCCTGTTTTCTGCTACAACAGCTCCTCCTCTGGCATCCATGTTTCCCTGCCAATACAGAATGGCATAGTGTGAGATATCGTGCGCCTCTTGCAAGCTAACATTCTGTGCATTCAGACTTCACCGTGTGACCATGAATTGCAGGAGAAATTTGGTGGTAGCTATTAAACTAGCAGCACATGACAATAAATGGAACCACAGTCCAAATGGCGCATTTGGTGTCTGAGTCGGCAGAATGTAGTGATGAATGTAGTGATGGCAGCCAACTTGGTTGGCTTTGAAAGGGGAGTGGATGAATTCATAAGGCTATCAGTGATTACTAGTCCTAATGCTCCGTTGAGCATCCAAGGCAGGATGCTTTCAATGCCACCTGCAGAAAAAGAGGAGCCTGACCACATCCTGTTTGTTGGCTTCCCATAGACTCCTGGTTGGCTACTGTGGCAACACAGTGCTGGACTAGAGGTTCCTTTGGTTGGATCCAGTACAGCTTTTCTTAGATTATGTATTTAAAGGGTGCTTACTACTGACATAGGGTACTTACTACTACATTGAATAGGTTAATGCAAGAAGAAATAGCCTTCAACCCTAACTATGCTGCAATGAAGAATGCCTCCAGGGAGAACAATCCTGAGACCATAGGATTGTCCAGATTCCCCTTGGAGATAGCCGTCCAACCTCAGAAGATGGAACTGGAGATCTGTCCCCATTGAAAGAACTGTGCTGGCTGCCCTCTGACATCAGAAAAGCACTGTCAGAGGAGGAAAAGGGGCATCTTGGTGGGCAGCAGAGACAGGAGACTGGACAAGTCAGGATACAGCCTCTTCCAGCCTCCTGTCTTCTCTCTCTGAAGCATCCTCACTAAAAAGCCCATCTAGCAAAATCTGCAGGGCAAGAGCACAATGAGCTGAGGAGCACCTGAACTGCTCCTTCTTGCTTCCTATTCAGGCAGGTTCCAATCACTGAGGGTGCAACTGATAGGATCAGGCTTTTAATGGGATTGTTTGCAAGCATCAGTTGAAAACTAATTGCACAACATTGGTCCATATTGTAGTGGCATATAGTGGCCTACATAATCAAACATAATGGAGAGGTGAAGAGTTTGTGGGGTGTGGGAAGATTGGAGGAAGCAGCCCAGATGCATGAGAAGCAATTTATATCATTTTGGGAGGTGAAGAGTTAACCAATTGAAGGCATATACTTTTTCTGCTCAGAATTCAGAGAGAAGTTGGATAGGTAAATAATATTATCAAAAGGATGGGATATTATTGTTGCAAAGGGAATGGAATCAGACCACCTTGCTAGAATTGTTAACAGGCTAGAATTTACTTGTCTGACCATAATTTCAACCTCCTAAAATGTTGCCAAGATACAGGAATTGTACAAGAGATGTTGCTGCCAGTGGTAGAACTACAAATAGAACCTCTTTCTCTAAGTCAAGGTGCTTTGTACCCAGGGTCAATTCAATTGCTTTGGCAAAAAATCCCACAAGCATGTTGCCTGAGCAATGACAACACAGAATAGTATTGTGTTATGCCTGCAGGATCCACCACTCACCTTGATGCTGTCAAAAATAACGTGAACTGAGCAGAAATGCTCTTTTCTGGAAGGAGCCAGTCAGCAGAGCTCACAAAAGGGAGGCCATAACCTGTCCTGATCAGACTTTTTGCTAATTTCTGCAGTTACAGAAGCAACTAGGGTCTGCTGCACAAGAGGCAGTGGAACCAGACAAAGCATTAGATTTGTCGGGTCTGGATAATAATCCGTGAAGCTGATGTGAGGCCCATCTACTCCAGGCAGAACCCCTGCCAGCATTCAAGCCTCCGCTGGAAAAGTGCCATCCTGGACTCTGCAGCCACCTGGGCTTCCCCACTTAGTGCAGCATCCAAGAGGCTTCCTAGACTATGCGCGCCACCTTTGGGAGCAGCAAGGGGAGAGCCCGCCCAGCAGGCAATTTATACAGACAGCTGCCCTAAAAAGAATAATAATAAATTGCTTGCTGAGAGGGCGGGGGGAGGGGACAACAGCCTCCCCTCCATCCTATCAAGATGAGTTGTAAACCTCTATTCAGAGTCGTCGGGTTTCCCAGCCCACAGTTCCTCTGTCTTGTCTGGATCAAGTTTCAGCCTCGCTGGGATGCGTGAATGGAAACAAGATGCAGAGCGGAGTATCTAGCTCAAGCCCCTTCCTGACTTCCCGCCACGGTTTCAGTGCTCTCGTCCAGAGCCGGAACTTGGCGCACAGCTGCAGCTCCCAAGCAGGAGGCGCTGAGCCCGCCTCGTGCAGAGGGATCCCGGGTCCAGGGCCGTCTTAACGCATGGGCCTGATGGGCACTTGCCCGTGGGCCCCATACTAATCTGTGTATGTTAACCCTTCAATGCACTTTGTATCAAATATGATACATACCGATCGTAGGGGCCCCAGTACACTGCTTTTCCCGGGAGCCATAATGCTGTTAAGACGGCTCCGCCCGGGTCTGCAGCAGTCTCACTGCTTCGGGCAGCGACCTCCCCTCTTTCTGGCAAAGTTTGCCGACATGCTTCCCTCGTGCGTAGCAAAGACGCCGCTTTACCAGCGACGGGCTGCGCAAATGCGATGAGGTGCACTCCGTGACGGGACCTTCCGTTGGCTTCCCAAGTCTGTTCCCGGCGTGCAAAGGAGGGGAGGAGCCATGCTGAGCTGCAGCAGGCTCATATGGCAAAATCTCAGCACCCTGCTTACGGTAGTAGGGTCATACATTTCATTTTCTCCCACAGGAATTTTTCTCCCCTGCTGCTATGTGAGGCTAGCTAACAATTGGGAGTAAAAAGAGGTCAGCAGTGAGTTTAATATTTTTTAAACCTTTAATCTCCTTCATGGATCACTGCCTTGTCGTGGCGAAGGGGCTTGCGTAGCTCAATGAAGCTATGAGCAGTGCCGTGCAGGGCCACCCAAGACGGACAGGTCCTAGCAGAAACCTCTCACAAAACGCGATCCACTGGAGAAGGAAATGGCAACCCACTCCAGTATCTTTGCCATGAAAACCCCATGGACAGTACCAAAAGGCAAAAAGATATGACGCCGGAAGATGAGCCCCTCAGGTCGGAAGGCATCCAATATGCTACTGGGGAAGAGCGGAGGGCTAGTACTAGTAGCGCCAGAAAGAATGAACCTTTAAACTTTGCAGCCTACTGAGACGATGTATTACTGAGACGATATTGATAAAAAATATGGAAACATCCACTTTAGTTTACGTTTGCAGGAATTGCAATACGGCACTTCCCCGTCAGTTGATGTTTACGATGTTTCCTAGCCGCCAGGGGGAGTCCAAGAGAGGGCGGGTCTCCTCGCGGCCCCTTTATTCCGCGCCGACGTTTCCGCAGGGGCCAGATTTGTAGTTACACCGCCGTCGCGCCGGTCGGAGTGGGATGGCAGAGGCGCCCTCCGGCTGTCGCAGCGCCCTCCTGGGGCTTAGCCTCAGCGGGCGGCCATAGTCGCCGCGTAGGAGCCAGGTACCCTCGGGACGAGAAAAGGAAGGGAGACGTGGGCAAGGGGACCGGGGTGGTCGCTCTGGAGAGCGGGCCCGGCCCCGGCCTGGTTTCGGGAGGGCTCTCTTGAGCAGGCTGAACTGGCTTGCCGGGTTTGACATGCTTAGGCACGGGGCGCACGCTGGCCTTGGCAGGTTGGAGAGGAATGCCTCGTTTTAACGCAGTTCTTCTTCCTGCAGAAAATGCCAGGCTTGGGTAGGCGTAGGGAGGCTTGGATTGCTTTATTACGAAGGAAAGGCAAAAGTCAGTTCCAGAAAACAGTCGCTTTTTCCTCTTTATTTATCTAGCTGTAATCAAAAAGTATTCCCTTCAGGTTGGGAGGCCATTCTGGTCCCTGTTTTGAAATCTCATTAGAAGAAAAATGTCTATCTAATCAAATAATAGTTAACAAAATAAACATATCACATAGTCAGTTTGCTATGAGGAAAATATATCAGCCCGAATGATGTGACCAGCTTCTATATTGTTCCCTGACAGCTCTTCTCCATCAATTTCTCTAAACAAAACTGGTAAAATCCCAGCAATCTGGTTGCTGAAACATGTGATGTTAGTACCTAGTAATTTTTTGCCCAACTCTGTCCTGGGCTGGTGTCCAATAATTTGAAATGAAGCTTGCCTCCCTATCCCCGGACTTGCTGACAGAGCTGCATAGAACAGCTAATGCCCTAACTGTTACTTTAAAGTGTTGATTTGACAGTCCTAATTTCTTGCAGTACATTGTCATCCAAGGATGAGGATATGAAAATGTTGTCTTAGTGCCATTTGAATAGCACTGTTTGACCCTGATTCTGAACATGATCTTGCTAAACCAGAGTAGTGAGGTAATAACAAGTCAATCAAGTATCCTTTGAATTGGCAAGTAATGTTCACAAATCTTTTGCTATTAAAGATGTAGTTGGAATTCCTGTTGTATTACCACCACCAGCAACAATCCTGATGTAGCCAAGATTGTCCTGCTTAGGATTGCTGGGGGTAGGGAGCCTCTCCTCCCCTATGTAAATATGGACCTACTACTCCTACCCAGCACTATGTGTAACCCTCAGGGCCCAAAAAGTTGCTCAAAAGTTGTTATATTCTCATGCTACAAAGTTGCGTTTGTGATGTCTGATGATTCTCAAGATGTCACACAGATAATGATAATCACTGAATCATAAAATGGTAACTGAAATGTAAAAGGACATGTGTGAAATGTGGAATGTTACGAGATATCTAATAATCCTGCAGAAATTCCTATTTGCTTTTATGTTACAATTCCAAAAAATAGCATAGTAGCAACCTATAAGTATATTTATCTGACCTGTGTGTTAGCTAGCTTCACACACAAACATAGGGCTCTATCAATATTTGCTTTTCTAATATTTTTTTTTTTTTTTTTTGGAAAGGAAAGGTGCTCTATTCCATCAGGTATGCTTACTGTGAAGACATGTGTATTGGACAAAACTAAAAGACATAAATGTCAGTGACAAAAATTGCTGCTTGTGCCATACTCATGGTTAGTGTGTTGTAAACAATTATTTACTTGAGTCAGAGAGCTAATTTAATCATCTACTGTTTCATTTTCTTTCCAGTTAGAGGAAGATGCCCAAACTTAAGGGCTTTGATTTCTGGAAAAACACATTGAGAGGTGCCCGTTTTGTGGTTGCTCCTATGGTGGATCAGAGTGAACTGGCTTGGAGACTGTTAAGCCGCCGCCATGGAGCCCAGCTGTGCTACACCCCTATGCTGCATGCTCAGGTCTTTGTCAGAGATGCCAATTACCGTAAGGAAAACTTGTATTGTGATGTGTGCCCTGAAGATAGACCCTTGATCGTGCAGGTAATAGCAACCACATGATTTCTCTCTAGATTTTTATGCTCTTTGGAGTGTGAAGCATTGCTAACTGTACAGATATTTTAGGAGAGATGACTTTAAAATAGGTACAGTGTTTCATTATATGAATATTGTAATAGCTCTGATAATGTATTTCTTGATCATGCATATTAGTGTATATCACTAATTCTGTGAGCCTGAAATCAGTGCTCCATAATATAATTCCATGTGTAAGCCATGCCTAGGGAGCCAAATGCTTCCTTTCACTGGGCAAGCTTCCTTTCCTGGGACACTCTGTAAGAGAAAGGAATGCTAGGTATGTTCTGAGGGTGCACTCGTATGGTTCTTTCTAATGTTTTATTTTCCAAACCAGAAGAACATAATGTAGTGGGATACTGTTCAGTTTTTCATTCAGTGTTGTATATGCCCCTCAAAAATCCTGAAAAGTGTCTGCTGTAAAAGTACAGTATCCATGGATACTAACAAGGCAAGGCTGCAAATATGTTACTATGCATACACTTGACAACTGACATTTGGTGAGATGGTAGTTGAAAAGCATAGCAAATGGGTGACAAATATATCTCCCCCTTTTGGGTGTGATCTTGGACTTGCTGCACCTTCTTCACATGTCCCTGAGTCTCTTAAGTACTCAGAAAAGCAAGATCTATATCCCATCCACTTTTGTGAGCACTACTTTTGGCATCTGTCACAAGAAAGGGTCTTTAAAAAAAACTTATCTGGCAGATTTGAACATTTTGGGGGTACAAGAAAATGTATGTGCATGGATTTCACTGTCACCCACCCCCTGAAATCTGTTTATTTGCCTATCCAAACTATCTGCTTACCCATGTGTTTTAAAATAAACCCTTTCTTTGACAGCTGTTAAAATAAAGTTCTCCCATAAATGAAGTGGGATGCATGGTTCCCCTTTCCTGAGCACCTGGGGTCTTTAGAAGGAGTGGAATAGGTGGAGGTCACTGACAACTACAAGTACATTTTGAAACTACAGGATCTTTCTGCAAAGGGGGTGATGTAGTCACCACTCCCTTTCATAAGTAAAGGTTACTCTGTGGCTTTGCTTTTCTCCATTCGAAAACTGTTAAATGAGAAAAGTAACAAAATGACCTATTTATAGCCTTTCTTGCTCAATGTCCACAGCTGGTTCATATTGCACTTTGACAGTAGACACTTAGCACAGTCTGGTAAGACTTTTCCTTTTGGGCACCTGCAAGCATACACGTGCGCACTTTTGAACTGCTGACTACTGACCAAACTTAATTTTTCAAAATATTGCAAAGATACTGTGCATATGTCTGGTTTTTAAAGTGGCAAACCATTGAGGGTCACTTCAGTGTTGCCCCTCATTTTGTGAGGAGCTTTTAGTGGTTGCCAATGGCAAAGATTACAACAATATTGTGGAATGGAATAAAGCTGTGGAGGACTGAAAGGGGAACATGAATGGAACAGGGAAAAGATATAAGGTGGCTTCAGCTATCAAGGCCCCTAGGATAACAGTGGGGGGAGGGGGGACAACCCACAGTGAGCCCAAACCTGTTTGGTATACAGTGGGTTGTTCTACAAATAACTCACACTGCATAGTTTAATTGGAGTCTGGGTTGCCATGTTGTGCAAAATCACCCATAGGTTTGAGGGTACCTTGATATTAAAGTGATGTCATGTTTACTCTCTGGCTGATGTACACCTTCCACAGTTCTGTGCCAATGATCCAGAAGTATTTGTCCAGGCTGCCCTGTTGGCTCAAGATTACTGTGAGGCTATTGATCTGAATTTGGGCTGTCCTCAAATGATAGCAAAGAGAGGTAAGTACAAACCAGAATTTAAAATAATGTTGGCTGCAGTATTGTGCATACTTATGTGGGAGTGGGCCCTAGGGGAATTTCTGAGAAAAATGTGTCGAATTGTGTTAGCACATTTAAGTATACTCTTGGAGAGCTGCAGTTGAGATGAATTAGCAGAATGCTGCAGTCTAGTCTTAAATATGTTTCCTCAGAAGTAAGTTTTACTGAGTCTTGCTTTAAGTACTGCGCAGTATGTTTAGGATTGCAACCTTAGTTTGTACAGTAGCCTAAGCACCAGTCCTTAAAGATAATTAAAAATAGATGAGTAAATCTGTTTTAATCATTCTGCTAAAACTTTCTTCATACAACTTTCCATTTAAATGCTGTCTTGTATAATATCTCCTTGAGTTGTTTAAGGATGCAGTCTTATGCACGTTTAGGCAGGGAAAAATGTCCAACATATCCTTAGACATACTGGCTGGGGAATGTTAGGAGCAATAGGACGTTTTTGTCTAAGCATGCATAGGATTGTGTCCTAAACTTTGTAGATTGCCTTAATTTAAAGTAATATATAAGAAACAAAGGGAGACAATTCTGGGCACGTGAGGGAAGTGCAGACCAGATTCTCTTCAGATCAGAAACTTCAGTTAGTGTTAAGAGAATACACATTTAATTAGGAATTTGCATTCTGAAACTTTCAGGCTCTGCCCAGTTTTAGCTGTCTGTAGTTCTGATATGAACAGTGAGATCATAGCTAGCTTTGCTTCTAAATACGTTTTAGAAATCAATGCTAGGATTGCCTTTCTACATTCATATCTGACTGCTACGTGTGGCAACAGGGATGTATCCCCAGCTTAATGAGGCCATGATTTTCTGTGGAGTTTTTGTTTGTTTCTTTGTAGGTCATTATGGAGCATTCCTGCAGGAGGAGTGGGATCTTCTTCAGAGAATGAGTAAGTCCATGAGGTTCTTGATGGGAGAACAGTGCAATACAGTGGACCTTGACTTTCATGGATTTAGATTTTGTGGATATGATTATTCACTAGTTTGCCATCAATAATTAAATGGGAGTTTTGTGGCCTACTGCAAAAAATCACAAACAATGCACTTAGAGCAGATATAGATGGGTATTTTTCTGAAACATACTTCCTGGTCCTTGGTCCACATACTACTGCATATATCAGCATTGAAGATGACTCTTGAAACCAAAAATAGCAAAGCAAGAATTGAGGGTCATCTTATATGCTGATATATATGGTACATCAAGGAAAAAGAAGGGAAATTTGTGAAGCTGTTACTGCATCTACACCAGAAGGCACAAAGACAGAGCAGGGGGGTGTGGGGAGAGAAGCAATTCAGTACATGTATGCTCAACAGTATTAAGAGTTAAAGTCTGAAGGGGTAGAGATATTGCAGTTTTTCCACTCCTGCAGGGGTCCAGTTCCCACGAATGTACCATGTACCACGAATGTACGAGGGCCAAATGTACATGAGAAACACATCAAATTTTATTTGGCTTTGGAACTGTTACACAAAAATATATGAAGCATATAAAGGCTGCCATATTGTTCATTGACACAGACTGGCACAGTTAACTGTGAGCAATTTTGTGACCCATTGCTCACCTTTTTGCAAGTTTCCAGCTGCTTGCAAGTCTGCAATTGTGCAGAAGCACAGATATGGGCTCCTCATCCACAACCAATTGCATCTTTGCACGTGTTCATTGGCTTTGAAAATAAATCGCACTGCAAGCTCCAGTAGTGAGACTGTCATCCTTGAATCTGTGGAATTATCAGTGCATTGCTAGTGGAAGGTGGAAAGCCAGTGTAGTGGGCTGGTCAGAGTGTTGCACTGGGATTTAGGAGAACTGGGCTCTAGTCCCCACTTGTCCACAAAGCAGATTTTGGGCCCATCACTCATTCGCAGCCTAACCTGCCTCACAAGGTTGTTGTGAGGTTAAAAGTGAGAAGAAAAGAATTACGTAAGCCGCCTTGAGTTCCTTGAGAGCGGAACAAGCAGGACAGAAATGTAATGTAATAAAATAAATAATAAATACAGAAACCAAGTCTAGGCCTTAATCCAGATGCAGGGCTCAGTGACAGCTTTGGAGGAACCAGGACTGTGGCAAGCACACTGGAGGGCAACCTGATATAGTTCAAGACTGCTCAACGCTAATGGTCCATGTAAGTTGAAGTGGTTTGGTTAGAGTGTTGAGCTTGAATGTGGGAATCCCATTCAGTTCCGACACTCCTTTGGCTAATCACTCTCTAAAGCAAATTCATCTTACGTCATTGTTGTGTGGCCAAAACAACAGTCTGGATGTCCAGGAGGAAAAGAGGGTGCAAATGCAATGGCTTTACCAGGCGTTCAGAACGTCAGGCCTTGAGACCAAATATGGCCCTTGCAGATTCCACACACAACTGTGCCTCCTTTCCCAAACATATGGTGATTTCCCAGCTTTTGTGCAGCTTTCCCCATTCTAAAAGGTTGGCATGGCCTCCAAAGGCTTAGGCAACCACTTTAAGCCTAAACTGACTAGAATGTGCGTGTTTTTTAGTCCTCCTTTTCACTGAAGTTGAAAAGCTCTGCTGAAAGCTTATCTAAGAAGGAACATGGTCCTCAGGCTGAAAGACATTGGACAGCTCTAAACTAGAGCTGTGATGGAAGATGGCGGTAATGCTAGGTTAATTTTCCTAATCTTAAATGAAGGCAGTCTTTTTTAGAGATCAGTTCTTCCTAGTTTAAAGTAGCCAGAAAGGAAAGATGGAGCTGGCAAGTTGTGAAAAAAAGCACTACATTATTTATAGCTTCCCAATAATAAAAGTTCTCCAGATAGCTCACAAAATAAACACAGCAGATTAAAAACAACAAGATAAAACACAAAGAGGAATAAAGTAGTACTAAAATACCACTGATTAAAATTAAAACAGAGACTAGAGCCTAAAAATCACAAAGCTAAGACAAATAGCTATAAAAGCTACAACAATGGTTTAAAATATCTGCGCAAAGAAAGGCTTATGCCAGGTGCCCCCAGAAAATTCACGTAAAGTCTGTCCGTGGAGAGTATTCCATATCTAGGAGGTCTAGCCAGCTATTACAATTCACTTGGTGGAGGCAGCTGAAGAAGTGTATCAGAAAGTGGCATAAACTCTCTCCTGTGGAAAAGATTGAGTAACAATGTTCAGCAGTTTGTGCCTTTGAGTGAATATTTTGTTTGATTTTCTTTGACACTGGAACAGGGTGGGGCATGATTTTCAATGATTTTCAAGTTCCACTCTTCCCTGTAGCCCTATGCATACATCTGTCCAATCTACTCTGAAGGGTCTCTGGAAAGATAAAGAAGGAACAGAGGAGATCATTGAAAATCACAGAGCTCCCAATTCCCTGATGTCAGAAGGAAAGAGCAGGATTCTTCCCCCTGTTTCTTGCTTTGCTACTCCATTTTCTAGTAGACAGTGAAGCAGAGGAAAAGGGTCCTTCTAATTGAAGCTGTCTGATCTGCAGATTTAAGCCACTTTTACAATATTACTTTTGTCTTGTTTTCCAGTTTTATTGGCTAATGAGAAGCTTTCTGTTCCTATCACATGCAAAATCCGCGTTTTCCCAGAAATCGGCAAGACTGTGAAATATGCCCAGTTGCTGGAGAAGGCTGGTTGCCAAGTAAGAAATCAACTGCTCCTTTAGGATATCAGGGCGCTGATACTATTGGATGGAACAGATAATGAAAAGGAAAATTTGGTGGGGAAAAGGTGTGGTAAAGGTATTTCCTGACAATGCTAGAAAGAGAAAATAGGTTTGCTGAATCAGGTTATCATCTTTAAATGAACTGGAGGCAAAATGTTTTCCCCTGTGCAAACAGCCAGTACAAGCTGAGAGAACAGAATGTTAACTTTGTCTTCAATTTTGTTTATGTATTTCCTTGTTTAATATAACTTGACACACCTTTCATATTACACTGCCCTCACAAAGCTGTTTGCAATATCATAGAGCATTAGCATACAGTTACATTTAAGCAGCAAAACTAGTATTTTTAAGTACCAAATGCAGACTAGAATAAATGTGTCTTTGGGGATATTTTTTTCCAGTCTAGTAATGGTGGGACCGTACAGCACTTCCCAAGGAGAAACTGGACTAGATGGAAAAACTATTAGGTGGATCCAAAATTGGCTGCTAAATCGGTCACAAAGAGTGCTCATCAATGGCACCTTCTCAAATTGGATGGAGATAACTAGTGGGGTGCCACAGGGTTCAGTCCTCTTCAACGTCTTTATTAATGATTTAGATGAGGAAGTACAAGGAAAGATAATCAGATTCTCAGATGATACAAAACTGGGCAGAATAGCAAACACCCTAGAAGACAGAATGAAGATCCAGGGCGACCTTGATAAACTTGAACACTGGGATGAAACCAACAGAATGAAATTCAATAAAGACAAGTGCCAAGTCCTCCACCTAGGAAAAACAAACCAAAGGCATCGATACAAGATGGGGAATACATAGTGCAACAGAACTGAAAAAGAAAAAGATCTTGGAGTAATCGTGGGCAATAGTCTAAACATGAGCCAAGAATGTGATGCGGCCGCCAAAAGGGCAAATGCTGTTTTGGGATGCATTAACAGAAGTATTGCTTCCAAATCATGATAAATAGTAGTTCCTCTATACTCCTCACTAGTCAGACCTCACCTGGAATACTGTGTCCAGTTCTGGGCATCAAGATTTAAGAAAGATTCAGGTAAATTAGAAAGGATCCAGTGGAGGGCAACAAAAATATCCAGGGGTTGGAATCACTGCCCTATGAGGAGAGACAGAACTGGGCATGTTCAGCGTTGAGAAGGAAAGACTGAGGGGGACATGATATCCCTCTAGAAGTACCTCAAAGGTTGTCACAAAGAGGAAGGTCAAGACCTCTTCTTGCTAATGCCAGTGTGTAGGACACTGAATAATCAATTCAGGTTGCGACAACCCAGATTCAGGCTGGACGTCAGGAAAAGCCTTCTCACTGTCAGAGCAATACAACAGTGGAACCAGCTGCCTGGAGAGGTGGTAGGCTCTCCCACACTAGAGACATTCAAGGCGAAACTGGACAGCCATCTGGGATGATGTAACATGATGTCCTGCAACAGCAGGGGTTGGACTTGATGACCTTCTTGGCCCCTTCCAACTCTATTGTTCTATGATTCTGTGATTGACTGCCACTGAGAAAGCTCCATCCCTAGTATCTGCCAGTGTAATGGTGCTTGCTGGTGGACCCAAGAATAAGGTCTCCAACACTGATCTAAATGTTCAGGCAGGCTCAGGCAGTTGTAGGTAATCCTCTGGATAACATGGTTCCAAACTATTTAGGACTTCAGAGTCCAAAACCAGCACCTTCATTTGGCCCAATTTACTCACAGGCACCCAATTGTACAGAATCAGAGAATCAGAATAATGAAAAACATACCTCTCTGCACACAGAGAATGCCTTTCCCCCTCATCAGTAAGCAATATAAAATAACCACTTTATGGCTAGTCAGTGTTATTGTTAGCTGCTTTAACACCAGTCTTTGGCAGAAAGATGACATAGAAATTAACTAGATAAATAGATAGGTAGCCAATATAAATTATACAGAATGGAAGTAATACTGTGTTTCCCCTAAAATAAGACTGGGTCTTATATTATTTTTTGCTCCAAAAGACACATTAGAGCTTATTTTCAGGTGATGTCTTATTTTTTCTTATGAAAGCCATAAGATTCTTGTCCTAAGAGTCCTCCATGATTTCTTTCGTGTACTCGATGGAATAGCTCATTCTTTTTGCACTCATCTTGTCTGGGGGTCAAAATATTATCCCCTTTAAATCTACCCTTAATTCAAGAGTTAATTGAGGACTTAGGAGACAGGAGTGGCAACACACGAGTGCATTAAGAACATCCGTTACAACACACAATGTATTGAATTGTGAAACACGCCTGTTATCAAGAGCTCACATTATTCGTGCATTGTGTCTGTACTCCGATTGGTCATTTGTCAATAAGTCTGGAGTTCATCGGTTTACGTAGGCATTTACCTCTTGTCCAAAGGCACCTGCTTGGGTATTTACAAATACTTAATTATAATTTATATTATCATTTATTTTAAGTATTAATGTCAATATTATTTATTTATATTTATATATTAGTACTAATTCAATATGTTCATCGTGTTGCAACAAATATACTAAATGCGTCCATCTGGCTGATGATCTTAACTGGGGCTTATTTTTGGGGTAGGGCTTATATTACGAGCATCCAGAAAATCATGCTAGGGCTTATTTTCCAGTTAGGTCTTATTTTTGGGCAAACAGGGTACGTTCCAGGCACCTAGCTCTGTCATAAATGTTTCAGTTTTCACATTCCCAGTCAGCTGCTGTTTCTCACTTGCTTCAAGGGTAGCCGGGCACAGTGCAGTTTACAATACGCTAACCAGGATGTGAACAACACTTGTGTCACTGTGGCTACGTCACTTCTCTCTAGTTGGTATTGAGCTGCCAAGCCAGCCTGGCAATTGATGCCACCTGTGTGTCTATAGGCACCACTGAGTTGAGGAACAGTTCCAGACTACAAACATGGCCGTTGAAAGGACTGTGACCCCATCCAGATTAGTGGATTTCCCAACCTATAGTACTTTTATCCAGATTAAGTTCGGGTTGTTAACCCTCATCCAGCCTAATAATGCCCCCAAACACCCATCTGAGTCCCTCCCTAAGAGATGGTAGAAAAGAGAGGTAGAGCTATTTGAAACCCACACATTAATAAAAAAAATAAACACACAGTCTGTTTGTTTGTTTATATTACTTTCCATATCTAAAAATACTGAGATATTATTATATATGGATGACACCACAGCCTGTACCTCCAGATTTTTTCTCCTAGTGTTTTCCTGTAGGTTTTGAAAAACATGAGCGGCAAGACAGAAGTGTGAGGTGCCCAAATGTCAGTGGCCAAGGAGTGGAACAAAAATCTGATCCCAACTCCTGGATCTAATCCCTCGGAAGCACTAGAGCCACTGCAACATCACTTTAACAACCCATCCCTTAATGAGGCCTTAATCACTGCAGATACCCAGTTCTGGCAGATTTAACATGCCAGGAGGAGCAGGATTCTAAAGAGCAAGTGGGAGGCCTCAGGCCTCCAAGCAGCCTGTCAGCATCCTCAGCTGCACAAGTGGAAAACTATCCAGAACAACAAGGCCACACAGTTATATCTATCTCTCATTCTGTCAAAAAATACCAGAACTAGAGTGATTATTAAAAAAATCTGCAAAATATAATGCAAATTACAGTGAGACTTCAAAGATTCTAGTTGCTTATCCTCTACCAAGCAGGCTCCTGCCCACCCAAAACAGATGGCTTGGCCAACATTAAAGGTAAAGGTAAAGGTTTCCCCTTGACATGAAGTCCAGTCATGCCTGACTCTAGGGGGCGGTGCTCATCTCCGTTTCCTAGCCGAGGGAGCCAGTGTTTGTCCGCAGACAGTCTCCGTGGTCATGTGGCCAGCATGACTTGGCCAACATTGTGCAGATGCAAAGGCGGTGGAGAATTTTTTCCACAGCCAGTGCAGCCACAAGTAAGCCCATAATTGAACTTCTTCATGTGTTTCTTTTGTTTGCTTGTTGATGGATGAGTTATTTGAAAACAAGCAGATAAGTTGCCAACTGAGTTCCTCTACCTATATATTCAGAGAAAGCTATAGTTCCATATCTAACTTTCACTCTTGATCAGTGTTAATCTGAGAGAATATATAAAAGTGGGCTCCATGTATATTTTTAAGTAGAGATTTTAGTGTTCAGAAAATTTCAAGCTCCTGTCATAGTGTCTGAAATGCAAGGATTACTCCTATAAATAAGAAATCCTGCCCAAGAGATGAAATACTTGATGCAAGGAATCCTGTTGCATTTATTTGCAAAGCAAGTGAAAAAAGCAGTTCTTATTGTGACTCCTGTATTTGACTCATGTACACTGAAAAATAAACACGACTCTTTTCTAGCTCCTGACTGTCCATGGTCGCACTAAAGAACAGAAAGGGCCTCTTGCTGGCGTGGCCTCCTGGGAGCACATACAGGCAGTGAGGTAAGGTGCCAGCAGAAAGGAATAGCTTCTTCTACCCTGCAACCGTATTTTGGGTGAAATGCATGCAGTTGAGGATTGCAGTATCGTATATGGCATTCCAAATTGTGAAACTGCCCCTTTTATTGCAGCAATAACAGGTTCAAATTTGAATACGCTCTAGATTTGCTTTTGTATTCACATATTTCTTCTTGTTTTTGTTTCCTGCCATAGAAAGGCTGTAAATATCCCCGTTTTTGCCAATGGAAACATTCAGTACCTCACTGATGTGGAGCAGTGTATTAAGAAGACCGGAGTTCAAGGTGTCATGAGTGCAGGTAGACAAGAGATACTGGATACTGGATACTGTTGCATGACTCTGTTTAGTGGATCTGTGATACAGCCCAGGTTGAAATACTCTTGAGTAACCTGGATCTAGCCTTATGGCTAATGGGGCACCATACAAATTGAATGAATCAAGGCATGATTGTGACCCTTATCTGCTGCTGTTGGATTTTTGTTTTAATGCCATTTTAAACCTTGAGAAAATTAGGATAAACAGCTCAGACTTCATTTAGTTTACTTAGCTGACAGAATTTTCAAAGCTTTCTAAACAGAGACCTGAAGTTCTTAGTTCTCTCTGTAGAGAGAGGATATTGCAATACATAAAATGTAAGAGGAAGCCCTTAATGTTGTACAGCATTGGGTGACCAGTGCACAAAAGCAAACAGAAGATAAAGGTTTTGCTTATGTTTTTTGTTTAAAAAGTTAACCATGCATGCAAGATCTGTTATTTTTGGCAGAGGAACAAAGTTTCATGAAACAGGAGCTGTCATTTCTACTACTACTACTTACTACTACATTGCATTTATAACCTGCCTTTTTCCCTCTTGTGAAGAACCCAAGGTGGCTTATATAGCTCTGCTGTATTCTCACAACGACAACCCTGTGGGGTAGGTTGCTCTGAGAATCTGACCTAAAGTCACCCAGTCAGCTTCATGGCCAAGTGGGGACAGGAACCCGGACCTCCTGTGTCCCAGTACAGCACTCTAACCACACCATGCTTGCAGCACCTTTGTATAACTCTTGACATCTTCAACCTGAGCACCCAAGGGACCTTTATTTCCTTCCAAATTATTGAAGGTTTTTTGGTGGTCTGCGAGCAGCACAGGAGTTGATCAGAGGCCTGTTCAGGACATTAATTGGAAGAGTCAAGGTAGTACAGTGGCTACAAATCCCTACTTACGGAAGCTTTGTGACAGATTAATGTGTCTCAGGTTCCCTAACCTCATGAGGCTAAAATGTTGTTAGAAATTCTTGCTAAGAATAGCAGGAAATGGATGTAAAATGCATTAATTTTGTTGTTAGCACATACAAATGGCTGAGATAGAACAATAGGTTATGCAGATAAACGTAGGTTCCCAAACCTGCATTTGCAGAGCATTACATTTGGAGGGGAAGATGGGTAAGAGCAGGTACTTATTCCTTCCCACTGATTGTCCTCAGCAAGCACCCCCACCTGTTTTCCCCCTACCTGGACATCTCTAAACCCAGCTGAGAAAAGGAGCTAAAAACTGCTGGGAGGCAATTGGGAGGATGTTAAAAGCCATATGCTTGCCCTTCTCCCTGCAAATGCCTCTGTACAATTCCCTGGTGATCAGCATTGTGAGACTAAATCTGGTTTGGATTCCACATGCTGTAGCCATCATGAACCAAATGCTGAAAACTGTGTTCTGGTTTTTCCAACTTAGAGGGTAACCTTCATAATCCAGCTTTGTTTGAAGGAAGAAACCCCGCAGTCTGGGAGATGGCTGAGGAATACCTGGAAATAGTTCAGCAGTATCCTTGCCCACTGTCCTATGTCCGGGCTCACCTCTTCAAGCTTTGGCATCATACGTGAGTAGTCGTCTTATTTATGCCCCCCTGCAATGACATGCCGTGATCTCTGAAGTTGTTACCGGCACGTTTTATGGCAAGTGGCAGAGCTGGAAATCTTGCCACATTTGCAGAATACAGGGCTCAGGATCTGGCTGTAAATTTCTTCTGCCCCTTTGGAATGGGGAAAAGAATAACTGACAGTGTGATGGTTTCCCTCAGGCTGCAAGTTCATCAACAGCTGCGTGATGAGTTAGCTAAAGTGAAAACGCTGGAGGGGCTTGTGGCTGTCAACAAGGAGCTGAAATTACATTGCCAGGTACCAGCAAAAGTGTTAACATGGTCAGGGCAACTCTGACTATGCTTGTTAAAAGTTAACATTTGGCTGAAGGATACATTCATGAACTAATCCTTTCTTCCCCAGCAAGGTGCCCATGATTCTCCCTACCTCCACTAAGGCATGATACAGAATTTTTTAAATAAATATTTCCTCCAAAGTACCACTGTGTCTTACATGGAAACAGAGGCATTATTAGAAAATGAAGATGGCAGCTGGCAGGCTGCTTGGAAGGAAGGACGGAAGGAAGGGGCAAGCTGCCACTGCTAAGAAGCTGTGGGAGGGGAACAATGTGGGAGGGGAGGAAGGAGGGTTACAGGAGGCATAGGGGAACGGGGCGGGGGGAGCAGGAAGAAAAGGGAGGGGTGTGATAAAATGCATGAGGGTTCATAAGTATGTGAGGGAGTTATGGGGGGTACCTCTGAGAAGGTATGTTTATATGTGGTGATGAATTTGAGAAAGAGAGGTGGAAAGATTTTTTTTTTCATTTCCCTTTTTGGTCTCTCTCTGTGGACCGAGGGCAGTAGTTTGGGGGTTTTCTTCTCTAGGAAAGCTGATTTCATATGGTTTATAAAATTGTGTTCACAGAAGGAAATAGCCCATTTGAAGGATGAAGAAAAGCCAAAGGGTGGATTACCTTTCTTCCACTGGATTTGTCAGCCATATCTCAGGCCAGGGTGAGTCTCAATATCAGAGCATTAATTATGGTTGTGTAATACATGCGCCTTATATTCTTTTACGCTAAGGATTAAACTGATTATCTATGATCACTGAGCAAGTTTAAGGGACTCCAGAGGCCAAAGATGTCTTGCTTTCCAACCTGTCTTGCAACAATATAAACAGAAGTGTTTTTGAAGGTGTAAGAAGTTGATTTATGTAAGCTGCTAGTCTGATTTCTCTTAAGAGGATCCTTGAGGACAGGTTCCCATGTATGGGATCCTTATATGTTTGATGATTTACTGTCCTCAAGAGCTGTAATTTTCTGGTTGACTCCCAGAGTGCTGATCCAGGTCGCTTTCCTGATCTTGGAGAGTAGCTGGTAAGGTGATTTCTGTATTGGCTGCAAAGGAGTAGGGGAACGAGGACCTATCCCCAGGTCCAAGGATGGAGCACGGTCTCTCACCTCATATCTGGGACTCCATAAAATTCTGTGGCCCCTTAGATGATGTGTAGGGGCAACAACAGCTTCCTTATTCTTCTTCCCAGTAGCTGGCTGTTCTACAATGACACAAGCATCTACTCCTCTTCAGTAGCATAGCAAGAAGAACGCACTTACTACTTTCTTACTTCAAGCTGCCTGCGCCGCATGTAGGCCATATTCAGGCTTCTGTTGGCAGTGGGGTTGGCAAACAAAGCAACATCACCTTGTGTTTTAAATATGCTGATGTTCAACCTTCATAGGCCCAAGGAGACCTGCAGCGAAAACGGTACTAGATGGATGGAAGGAAGTACACGGGGGAAGCGAGCTCTGGAGGATGAAGAAGATGGAAATGCAGAGTCTCTTTCAAAGAACAAACAAAAGAAGAAATTAAGAAATCCAAACAAAAGCTTTGATCCCTCATTAAAACGTAAGATGTAGGGCTGCAATATTTAGTCAGCAGATTAGGTTAATATAACATTCCTAAGGAAAAAATGTGCTCCAGTGGATGTAGTGGTTACCACTCTCCAGGCTTGGCTGTGAAGCTCACTGCATGACTTGGGGTCGGTCAGTCAGTCGCGCTCAGCCTAACCTGCCTCACAGGGCTGATACCGTGAGGATAAAATGGAGAAGAGCAGAACTGTGCAAGCCACCTCTGATTCCTTGGAAGAGGAAGAAAGGCCGGATATAAATGTACTGTAATAATATCTGGGCAGCATTTTTTCAGTAAAAGGACTTGTTGGATCTCCAAATGAGTGCCACCTTAAAAAGGGCATTTCCCATTTACAAGCAAGAGTTGATGCCTCCTGAGTGCCTGTATATAAATATAAATAGGGTATACCCCCCGTGAAGCTGCGGTTCAGTGTTCGCAGCCTCAGTGTTTTGCAGAATTTTCCTCGCCGTGCAGCGACTTGCTTGCAAGGAGATCATTTTCTCTGAGCGAGTCCAAACCTTGCGAGCAAGGAGATTGGTTTGGACTCGCTCAGAGAAAACAATCTCTGAATGCCCCTGCCCCTGCCCTGCTGCGCACATGTGCCTACCCCCCCGGCCTTGCCCGGCCTATGCCCCCCGTCCGCACCACCTTGGCGGCCCGCGCCCATCACCAGCACCTTTCAACTGGCTCCCCAAAAAGTTTGAGGACCCCTGTTCTAAGACTTCTGGCAATGAACCTTTACCACATTCAAAATTCGCAGTTTTTCACAATTCGCGGGTGGTCTAGGAATGCAACCCCCATGAATTTCAGAGGACTACTGTATATTCACTTTTTCAGGAAGAATGCTTTTTTTATTCATAAGTTAATTTATATTTATTTCATTCACTAATCCGCAATCCTAAATGTGTTTACTAGGTAGTTAGGTTTAGTGAATACAATAAGTAGACTTGCTTAAGATTGTACTGCACAGAGTGACTAAGATTCTTTTAATTGGACAACAGCCCAAGTAATATGGCAAAACTTGTCATGTTGTAATACAGGGAGGCTGCTTGCAACACTTTTCCCCTTGTGTGGCTGGAAAATGTTTTATGCTAACAACATAGCCTTCAAGTATCTTTTAAGACTAAAAAAATAGTGTTATATATAATTGCAGTAAAGGGTAGATTACATCCTAAAGTATGTTATGATTCTCATACATACTAAAATAATGATTTTACCTGAAGCATTGTTCACAGTTCCGTTACAGTAGTAGTCACTGTACTGAAAACCAACCTATATAAAACTTTTGAAGTCCCACCTGTCTCTCCTCTTCCTTCACCACTCCTTGATCTGTTTCTGAAAATTCTACATAATTATTAAATGGCTCTGCTTAGAGGGTAGCATTTAATTCCAAGATGTGTGTGGTTTTTAATTTTCAGCAGATTTCCTTTGAGTTACTGAAACTTTGCTTTCCTAGAATTTTTAAACCAAATACATAAATGGTGTGTCAAGAACTGGATGGGGGTGGGGTGGGACTCTCTTCCTATTTGTACATAGCGGTTGTTTGAATATTCAGAGAGTTAATATTTTATTTATTTATTTCAGCTAAATATGCAAAGTGTGATCAGTGTGGAAACCCAAAGGTAAGTCTCTCTTCATCTGTCTTTCCTCTTGTATTCCTCAGTACTCCATTAATCCTTAAAACCTTGAGGGACATGAGAAATGCTGTATCTGTTGTTTGAGGAAATAGCTCTGTCCTAGTTACGCTGATAGTCTTAAAGTCCCCTCTTTCTCAAAAAAGCATTCTTACCAATTTATTGAGCAGGAGTTAATTGCTGAAACATCTTTGTTACAGTCTTCAGTGTCAACCCTAGAAGCCAATGGAGTATCACGAATTGCAGAAAGGAACCGACTTAGATTGAGCCATGCAGATGTGCTTCCATCTGCTGGAAACTTCTGAGACTGCAGCTTTGCTATAATATGCTAAAGCACAATTTAAGGAAGAGACCTGTATATGCCAGCAGAGAGGAACAGGGTGTTACCGTATGAGGAAGCCAAGACGACAAGTTTGGGACATTAGAGTTGATGTTCCCCACCCCTGGTTTAAGAGGACTTAGATTTATAGCGGCTTCATGCTCTGGGTATTTGGTTCAGTGTTTATGGTGGTGACTTGCCACCTGCTGGACATTAGTCCTTCAGAGGTATTTGGACCACAATTCCCAGAATCCCTATCCAACAGGGCCATTGACTGGGAATTCTGGGTGTTGGAGTCCAAACATGTCTGGAAGACACAAGAATGGCTGGCCTAGTCCACACAATTCCCACAACCATGGGTCATGGTTAAACGTTGTTGAGTTCTCCAGCATACTAAAAAGCAGAGACATCACCCTGCCGACAAAAGTGCGTATAGTCAAGGCTATGGTTTTCCCAGTTGCAATGTGTGACTGTGAAAGCTGGACCATAAGGAAGGCTGAGCACTGAAGAACTGAGGCCTTTGAATTGTGCTGGAGGAGACTCCTGCGAGTCCCTTGGACTGCAAGGAGATCAAACCAGTCAGTCCGAGAGGAGATCAACCCTGAGTGCTCTTTAGAAGATAGTGACAATGAAGCTCAAATACTTGGGCCACCTAATGAGAAGGAAGGACTCCCTGGAGAAGAGCCTAATGCTGGGAACAATTGACGGCAAAAGAAGAAGGGATGAGGTGGATAGATGGAGGATGAGGTGGATAGATGGAGTCACTGAAGCAGTCAGTGTGAGCTCAAGTGGACTCCAGGGGATGGTGGAGGACGGAAGGCCTGGAAGAGTGTTGTCCATGGAGTCGCGAAGGGTTGGACATGACTTCACAACTAGCAACAGTTCTCCAACAGTTCCTGCCACCCAGATTCAGGTGACTCGCCAAACCACAGGAACCCCAGTCAGGAGCTGAATAATTGGAATAACTGTTAGTGTGACCTTAGCTGCCTGTTGCTTAAGCAAATCCCGGTGGGCTATGGTGATCAAGTGAACCAGTCATTATATTCTTTCCATGCTAGAAAGTGACGAAGAAGAAAGTTACATAAAGATCTGCAGTGATTATGTCCAAATTCCTCTCAGGAACAAGATGAAGATAGGAATTCCTACCTGCTGGGGTGTTCTCCATATGATTAATTAGACATGTGTTTATTAAATGTTGGGGTTTGAATACGACTTTTTAATTTTGGTTGGGAGGCCTCCTTGAGCTTACCACCAGTGGCCTTTCTGGCTTCTCTTGATTTTTTTCCCAACTGAGAAACAAGGAGGGTTGAAAGGAATCTAGGCTGTTTTTTAGTCTATTAAGTCCAACAGGACTGGGGAGAGATCAGTGATAAAATGTACCAAGCTTATGTTAATGTTAATGGACTTGGTAGAGTAAAAAGAGGTTCAGGCATTGGGTAAGCTGTTCCCTGAGATTGTTTCTCTGCAGAGAATTTATCATATATCAAATTGTGATGAGTTGTTTGCGGCTGCAGATGTGAGTTTTAGCCCACACCTTGGCTAGATGCAGCAAGATGTGGTTTTGCCAGCAGAAACATAGACCAGAGCGAGACAGAAGGAGTCTCCTGGGTCATCTAGCCTGACCCCCAGCTCCAGCCGGCTCCGCTCATAACAGGCCTACCATGTGCATGTCATAGGAGAGCACTTGCAGAATGGAACCACATCCTCTCCTCCCACAGCCCCAGAGATGTGCTGAGCCAGCTTCTCACCTGCTCTGTGAAGGATGGTAGTATCTATGCCAGGAACTTGCGTTCTCGGTGGCCAGGGTGAGAAAGAACTGGCAGAACAAAATGAGGAAGGTATTTTAAGGCAGCTTGAAAAGATCACTGAGCTCACTCTTTGCTCCTAACACCAAATAGGAGTTTGTTTTATACAGTGAAGTAAACCTTTAGAGGACAATTCCTTTTGCAGGGGAAGATGTCAATGCTGTAACAGGTGAACAATTACACAAACATGGTACAGTTAGAAGGGACACTTAAATGACCTTGGTGACTGAGATTGGCTGATGCTTTGTAGAGGAACAATTTTTTAGTCAGAAAAAAAATAGATGTTCTCTTTAGCAAAATTTAATTTGTACAGCAGAACTGATTACAAGTCTCCTTATGTCTGATCTGTACAGTGTTCCAGAGGTAGAGGGGTAAAGGTTGGGCCCACTGTCTGATCAGTGAGTTTTTGGGACAAGAAATTGAAGGATCATTTGCTTTGGATTGAATGCTTATTGGGGTGAAATTAAACTATGTAGTGTAAATTAAGCAGAAGATCTTAGAAATGTGTGTTAAATAAGAATTCTTCTACTTGATTGCCTTATTACTATTTAAAAGTTGGCCTATAAGTGTTTAAGCTCAACTTCCTATCCTGAGAATACCAGAAATTGTGCCTATGATCAAGTCCATGTGATTTGTAGAACCCACACAGCACTTAGTAAGCTATAAGAAATCAAGGCAGAGTTTCCACTGATAAACAAAAAAGCACAAAAGGCATTACTACATATGGCACAATTCTTTATGGATACAACAGAATTTTAGTAATCAAGCATACATGCATGGGTGCCATATAAATACCTTTATACCTTGGCATCCATTAAGAAATTGACCCATGGACCTTGCTGGGGATTTTTCCCCCATGAAAGAACAGTCCATTAACAAAAACTTTCGAACATCACTGGGGTTTGACATTTGTTTCCTAATACCATTCACTTCAAGGAAGGACTTTATCTTCAAAGCCACATGTTTACTGAGAACTTAGGATTGCAATGTGAAAACCAAGCTAATTAGTTTTTCTGCATTGCCAGGGCAACAAATGTGTGTTTAACTTATGCCGAGGATGCTGTAAGAAAAGGGCTTTTAGAGAAACAGCAGATTGTCCAGGTAAGTATAGGCGAGGTCAGTTTTCCAGAATAGGAGGGTATTTTCAAATAAATGAATGTGTAAGTCAAATTTTGATAGTAGGTTGAGCCTAGTGAGCACTTTGATGCTTGTAAACATTAGTGGCTCAAAAAATAAAGTCTAGATCTCAAATCTTGACTAATTGGACTTTACATAACCCAGCTCACTTGCAGATGGTGTCTCTGAAGTGGGAAACGCGTTGAGAGGAGCAGAAAGGGTTTTCTTTAGATGCTCTTTAGCAGCATAGTGTTGATCAGTTTAAGCCCACATTCAAATTTTGGCAAGTTTTGGAAAATTACATACCCCCTCAGTAGTCCAGGAAGTGTTAAACATATATCCATCATGCTACTAAACTTTTATGTAGCATTTAGGTCACAGTCCTCTATACATACCGATCTCCAAATACAGAAGCTTACGTGCATCATGTGTCCAGAATGAGGTATGGTGGCAGCAGTTGCCACTACACCTGAATCTTGTGCTGGACTTTTTAGCTAGTCAGCCAGTTTTGGTCATCTAAATTTGATGCCAGGGAGGGAGGGAGACTGGGGTGCTAATTGCAATCAGCGCAAGGCTGCACTCCCAGCCTTTCTTCCTCCCCTCCCCACCTGCACTGCATGCCCCCCTTCTCCCACGTGCAGTTACAGCCTCAAGGGGTGCAGCCAGTGGCTGTGAGAGGGCCGGAGCTTGGCCTCTGGAGTCCCAGCTCTGAGGCCACAGGGTCTCAGAGTGGAGACTGTAGTCTCCCAGATGATTTTGGGAGGCCATTGGATGACTTCCTTAATTACAGAATATTTTTTTCTCAGGCCTTTCCAGATATTAATAACAAAGAGCTTTCCTTTGGCAGCTCTTTCATGTCTGTGAATCCTGTTAAAGGATTAAATTCCATTTTAACTGCTGATGGAAATTATGTTGAATCATTTGTATATTGGGTATTTTAGTTTACCAATGCCTCAATTCCCTAAATAGTTTCTTTACTCCTAATGGCTACACTTCAGCTGCGTGTTAACCAAGGTGCATTTCCCTTTATGCTCCTTCAGGTCATGGTCTGTTATTTAAAACCAAATATGAAAAGTCCCTTCTGTGGAAAAGTGGCCAGTCTAGTATGGAAAATATTGAAGTGGCAGCTCAAGAAGGCAAGGTAGAAGCTGCTATATTGCTCAAAGAAGCTATTGATGGTGTAGCATGAGGCTGGAAAACCTCAACCAGGATCTGCTCAACAGCCTCTGTCTCCTTCCCTGGGCCAAAGAAATCTCTGCCTCCAGAACACAGCAGTCGACGCCTCAGACCTGTTCTTTAATGATGGACAAGGCTTGTTTAAGGAAAAGGCTCTTTCTCAGGGAAATGTCCTGTAACAGAAATGAAAGGGAGCACTGAAACGCTGTGTTTGAAAGACTTCAGAGGACTGAGCCAGAAGGGCTGGCCTTAACATGCTGCATTGGAGACCTCTCTAAAGACATGACCTGCCTAATTTAAACTTTCTGTGTGGTTTTAAAATTGGCAAATAAATCTTTTATATAAGTACAGTTTCCTGGATTACAAGGAAAAGCATTTGGGAATGGGGTGACTCTAGAAGCAAGGGCTTGCCCAGAAAAATGAATGACAAAAAACCTAGTGAGGAAGCATTGTTCAGAGTTCCTGAACAGAGAACACCCAGATGTAGGAATTAACAAGAAACATGTCCTTTGGATTGTAACTTATTATAACTTACTGCAGTATGACGTAGGATGCTTCAACTTGCCTTGTAAAAAATAATGTTAAAAATTCAGTGTGCAATAGTTTCACACAATGTGTTTTCACATTAATTTTAAACACACAAGAAGATCATGAGTTCCTACACTTAGAGGATGTACTAATGTGATGGTTTTCTATTGTACCAACTAAGGAGCCTCAAGGACCTTGCCTGAGACTAACAGCCTAAACCTAAATTTGCAGGAACTGTGTCATTTATTTAGCAAAGGTTGCTGCTTGCTCAGAAAGTTAAGAAACATACAGCCCAGTCCAGTATAGCTGGGGTAGAGACCTTCTGTCCTTGGGCCAAGCATGGTGCTCCAGAACTCTCTGTCTAGACTCTTAAGGTCTTGCTCTATCTCTGAGGATGGTACCCCCCTCACCAGTCCCACTGTGGGTGTTGATATTATTTCTCTTGTCCTACTCTGCCTCCCAGCTATAAAACTCATGTGGGGAACTTTGTACAAAGTGGGGAAGAAGAATAGCTAGGTGCAGACATTTTAAAATGGTATACTGAACAAAGAGTCACAGCTGTAATCTTCTCACTCTGGACTTCAGCTACTGCTGTGCTGGAATTTGGTCCTGGACAGGCTTGACTGAGGTAATGTCAGCCTTATCAACAGCAAAATGATCCCTCTACCCCATTCCTGCAATATAACTTTCTAGTAAGTATTCAGTGGTATTTACTTCCAAGGAAGTGTACTTAGACTTGGCAGCCTTAGTTTCTATTGTGGCCTAATTATATGCACCTCAGTTTGAGAAATGATATGCTCTAAGTAATATACATAAGAAAGGGACATTATAGAAAGGTAGGGAAGGTATACCAGATGACATAGGGTATTCGTCCTACTCATGTGCTTGCCAACACTATCACCATAGTTCAGATTGATGCTGCGAATAGATGAGGACAAACAAGAATTCAATTACTGATCATGATTCCAGGTTTCCATCTATCATTCTCCCTACAAGAGAGTGGGAGAGGGAGAACACCCAGAATTTTTTCTAGCCAGCACAGGTTGGCAATCCCTTTTCCATGCAAGAAAGATTACATTGTCTCTAGCATTAATTGCAAAACACCATGATTGCTGCTAAGGTAGCACTTACATCCCACAGATGCAATAAAGTCTCTTATTTGGTTCTTAGATATGATAGTTTTGCAAGATCATTGTAGCCAAAGCCTTTGTCATAGTTCCTTCAAGGACAGAGAAAGGAATAAAATGCACTTGTGGTTAGGGCTTTTGGCTTGATACGTTATTTCTTAACCAAAGTTCTTATTTACATAACCTCCACATAATTAGAAAGCATTTAAGGTATTAAAACTGTTAAGAATCTAGTTTCAGCTCAATATAATACATTCTGAAAGCCAAGTTGGCTGTACCTGCAAGCAAAAAGAATAAATTATGTAGGCAACTATATTTCCCACAGCCAAAAGTTTGATCATATGAGAAGATGTTGTCCCCCACATTTTTATTCATGAAGGTTTTCAAACGGTTCCTTGCAGCTTCCTGATTCACCACTGAATCCTTGCAGCTTCCTGATTCACCAAATTGCCAGTTTGATTTTGCAAGTCTAAGCTTTCATCAGGCTACTCGGTTGTAGTCTTAGTAAATAAAATGCTCAGGTGGATCATTTATGAGTTACATTGTCACTGAACCAAGATAAAACATTCCTCGTGGACATCAGGCACACCTAGCTATCTTTCAGCATTTCGGGAACATGAATCTTGTTCTGTTTATTGCCCATCGTAGCATTTGCTCATCATACATTTGGCTCACAGCATCTCTGTAGGTTATAGATGGACAACTTGTGGCCCTCCTAAGATTTGACCTACAGCTCCTTTCATCAAAACCAATAGAGAGGGACCAAGGGAGTTGCAGGCCAAAACTTGACCGCTCCTGCTGCAGGTTGTCTACACCCCTTTAGCACAAGTTGCAGGTGCAGTGTACAGGGAGGCCAGTCTGGCAGGCAATGCACAGATGTTGGGATTATCACATGCTCTTGCTTTAAAGATCCACCCTTGTTTCATAATGTCATAGCATTACAAATATACTAGTTGAAAGATTTTTAGAACCTGACGTGCTCTGGATTATATTAGATAATACTCTTCTAAAGCAACGTCAGGAAGCTCTAACTGTCTACATATATATGTCTACAACCCATGGTTTCATTGAAAGGCCTAAATTCAAATTTTAGTTTGTACTGGCAGTGGGACAGGCAAGAGAAACATGGTGGCCGTGCATCTGATTCAAGTTCTGTACAATGATGGTGGTTAAGAAGAGCCCTTGATCAGGTGCTGGAAAGCAGCTTGCGTATGGGCACCGCCCAACTGTTGTGAGCCCCTGCCTGCAGCTTTCTAAGATGAGCCAGAGCATTAGACCTGTTGTAATGATGGTTTGGAGTGATGCTGCCAAGGATTACTGTGGGGTGACCAACCTGCTTATCCCAAAGACTGGGTCTCTGCCTGCAGCAAAGGACCACAGAGGGTAAACAGCTCAAGAGCCTGCACAGCTGCATCACCAAAATGACGCATGCCTGAGTGTTTCAGTAGACCTTCCCTCGAGCCCTGAGAGTAAATATTCAAAAAACTCAGTGAAGGTCATACATCATGCTGATGCTGTGCTGCATCCATGGATCATTCTCATGCAGCTGCAGGGTGTCTAGGATCCCAAACTTCATGACTATCAGGAGCAAGAGAGCTGCTTCCTGCACCTGCCTCTTTAGTCAAACCAATGGGTGCATCTTTCCTTACCAGCATGGAACTGCGCTCCTTGGTGTGCTGTGCATGGTGTTCTGCCATACCCGCCAAGCTGGCATCATGAGTAATCATGACTGGGCACCTGGTGAAAGCAGCCCCAATGACAAAAAGCCCCAGTAGTTGCTTCTCCTTTTCTGCCTTGCAGACATCACAACCTGCTTGTTTGCTTCCCTTCATGGTGGCCCAGGTAATGGTGGGGAGAAGCAGTAGATGCCATGGGCTGCTTGCTGACAGTCATAAAGAAGCATTGGAAGCAATGAGAAGAAAGAAGGTGATGAGCAGGAACAGTTACTGACAATGGTGTTGAGAAGGTAGGTTCACCAAGGGAGGAGGCCCATTGAAGGTGCCTTGAGAGAAACAGTCGATTAGAATCAATCACCTCTCTCAGACAGAGCTGTGTAACAGCTGATGCAGAGGCCATTAGCGTAAACAACTAATGCTTCTGTCTGAGCTGATGAACTGTCAAAACCAAAGCTAGTTACTCCAGTAGAACCAAAATGCATGAATAAGCTTGCTGACTGAGCCTCACATGATACGCTATCCCACTCTGGATAAGGGCACTGGCTCAGATTCAGGATCATAGACAAGACAAAAGCTACCTGGACTGACATCAACAACAGCCTCTTACAATGGCTCTGGTAGCTTTAAAACTGGTGGAAGCCCAGATTTTAGTAGCCCAAGAAAGCCATGACTGCCATGAAAATGCAGAGTAAAAGCAAGCATGTGCGGTATAGCTTTCCATGCCAGCTTTCTGAATTCTTCTTCCTTGCCAGTGCAGCTGTTCTCAATGCCATTCTCTCCAGTGCTGGCACTGCCACGACAGTCTGCCTGCTAGTACCAATACCACTGGCCTTCCGCATAAGCATTCCCTGAAGCTAAACTCTTGCCTTAGCACCACTAGAACAGGCCTTCTGGAGGGATAGTTTCTGCCCTCTGCTGCAGAAAGGCAGAAATCCATCCCCAGCAGTTGTGCCCCATGTGATGCTGGCACAAGGGAAGAGCAAGACTGCAAGAGCTCAGAGTTCAGCCCCAGCCTTGCTCCTGTAGCTCTTTGGAAGGAGTGTATTGTCACTAGCTGCCTCTCTCATTATCCGGGGCTATCCTGGGCCCTGCATAAGAATGTTTTCAGCTTTAAGTTGAAATTCACAAGTTCCCAGTGTCAGTCCTGGGAGATGCGCACATTTAACAAAGCTGATCACATAACGTGTCTTCCTTTCATTTAAAAATGTTGAATTGCCAACTTCTACAAGTCCCTAGAAATATAAACTGTCAAGTTTAAATGTGTATTTAAAGAAATCCATAAAGATGCATTGTCTGTAATAAAGCTTGAAAACAGAACTAGTTACATTTTAAATCAAAATCACACAGTTCTTCCAGTCTCCCCTGAACCTAAAAATAAAGTTACACATGGAAAGTGTCCCATTTATACTTAGTCTTAGAAGGCACAATCCTGTCTAGCCAGGCAGAGGAAAGGATGGAGTTTCAGCTCTGACTCTGGAAATGGCTTTGCAGATGGCAAGCCAATCTCAGAGCCAGGGTTGGTGGGCACGGAAGAGACAGAGAATATCCTGGGAGAGCATCAATCTTTGCAGGTGTAAAAGGCCAAGACTGCCTATCTAAGCAAGGTGGGAGAAGTGTGGAGATGATAAACGCCCATAACCCTCCAAGTCAGGAAGGTTACAGCCTTGCTGGATCACGCTGAGAGGTAATGTCTCATCCACTATTTTTGTCCATCAGGAAACAGCGGGGACAAAAGAATAATACACTTTTCTGTGGCAATATATGCTCTGTAAGAATTAAGCAGATTAAGGAACATTTTTCATCATCAGGCAATACTTTTTGGGCTGCTTTCACGTATGAGGTTTTATTTCACAAATGACCATAATGGTAATTTCAGTTATACTGCCCATTCTCCCCAAAGGTTTTGGGCAGCCTTATATACTAGCAATTGTTGTACAATTACCACTTCGGCCTTGAACTGCTACATGACAGAAACTGAAGCCGAGAGATAAGCCATTAAACAAAAAGCTTTGTTTTGAAGTTAAAACCTTTTAGTACCTATTAATCTCAGCAGGAATTACTCCTGGCATAAGCATGCACAGAAAGAATCTGTTAGCAGGCCAGGCCCTTCCTCAATCTTTTATAAATGGGTAGCATAATAAGCAATGTAAGGTACTACGAAGCTTATATGCACTCTTGATTTTTCTGATAAGATGCTGGAGCCAGATATTTCAAGAGCTGCTCAAGTTGGAAATGTATTGCTGTTTTATGATTTTATGTTCATTTGAGGGGTGGGGTTTAGCAGGACGGATGGCAATACATGCAGCAGTAAATAGCAAGTGTAGTATACATAAGTCAGAAATGTGGCGTTCCAGACATACCAATCCTGCGTTCCCCTGTATTTGCCAAATGTTCTCCTTTATGCAGTAGTGGACTTTAAAGCAGTGTACCCTGCTAAAAAGTGACCAAGAAACTCAAAGCTTTTAAATGTACATGTGAGCTTAAAATTAGAAATGCAGAAGTGTCCGTCCCATGTGGCTGCAAACATTCACAACAGTTCTTTCTATTGCTCCCAGGGAAAATACCAGTCATACAAGCATTTCTACTCATCTACTTTTACTTTCCATTTCCAGTGTAGCACACATTCAGCAGAAAGTAGAATTATACCCTCTTGCCTTCAAGTGACATTACACACAATACCATCACTGTATATTTATAATGCAAGCAGGTCACACACACAGTGTGACACTCTTGCCATTCATGTCCCAGGAGCTCTGGCTTTCATTTAGGAGAATGCTCTCCTGCACCCCAACGCTCACACGTTTAGCCATCAACATTGCAGGATTTAATAATGGGATGGCAAAGAGCATTTACTTGTTCAGGATAAGCTGCCCAGGCCAGTTTTCATCGATTTGTCAAAAAGCTGCTGCTGTTCTTAAAAGGTCCACATATCCGTTGTGGGCAGTCACTTCAGAGTAGGAAGACTACAAGCAGGAAGACTATAGCTGAAGTGCAGTATGGCCAGCAAGTTCTGGGCACGCTCACGGGAGCCTCGGCATGGAACACGTTGTCTACACTCCTAGAAGCTCGAGTTCAGTGGCTGGGACTGAATCCGCTCCTTTCATCCACAGACTACCAATACTCCTCCCTGCCCCAGTTAACAAGCCCTCTTCTCTGAATGCTTGGTTTTCTTGAGGGTGCAAGTGGGGGTTAAGGCAAACCCCAGGCTCTCTCAATGAAAGCTAGACACTTCCTCAAAAACTATTTTCAGCGGAGACACGGGAGGTATGGCCAGCCTCCTGGTCTCCTTGTCCAGGCTGAGCTTTCACTGTGGATGGAAAGTTTCATCTCGTTCTTGTTGTATTTTATACTCTACTGTTGGCCAAACTCACATCATTATACAAAATTAGGAGTATTTCAATTCCCAACCCGTAAGTTAAACAACAGGAGACATTAGCAACCACTAACAATTATGAGTGCTGTAGTTTCCTTACCTTACTTCAATCAGGGCTAGGGAATACATTATGGAGTATGGAAGGCTTTCAAACTCAAGAGGAATTTCCCCCTTCTGCTTTATCTCCCTTGACTAAAGTTCCAATGATCGGCAAGGTTGCTTTATGTTAGTTTGGTTCAGACAAACTATTTCTCTTTTATAAATTGCCTCCAGGGTTTTGTGCATTATGCAGCACAGATTCTGATAATCTCAGTTTTGATTTAAAAAGAACACAAATCCAATTTCTAGTCATTCTCACTAAAAACCAGTGGTTAGATTTCTGTAGTAATATTCATCAGTGACTCAGCAATTAAGGAATATATGGGTGGGATTATAACAAGAAGTGAGGGCCATAAAGGTACAACCAGTACACTACAATCTTTTTGCCACTAAGTCAAAAGATTTTTAATATGTCCAGGCATCTTGCAGATTTGGTTCTTTTCAATTAAATTATGTTAATACTCTTTATTGTTTTATTATATTCCCTAGTAGGATCAGGTCATTCCTCTTGATTTTTATTTTGTATGGCTTATTGGTTAGGCTCATATCATAAAGTAAGTTTAGAAATATTTTAATAAATAAATCTTTTAAATCTCCTATCTCAAAGAAGCAACTTCTGCAAAGGGCCCAGAATAAATATGGGTCATGTAAACACACCTGCGTCATGGGTTCACTTCTGTATTTTTTATAAATATGATACTTTTCTATGAGAATTACTTACTCTTCATATTCCCTGGCCAAAGACTGACCCAGCAGACTGCAGGATCTGCTTGTAACTCCATACCCAGCTAAGAAAAAGGTATGTCCAGCACAGTGGGAAAGGACCGCGTTCCCTGGGACAGCATGCGTCCGGCACTCCTCACTTCCTCAGACATCTGTGCCGGAATAGCGCCTTGCTTCCAAGTTTAGAGAAGGGGGGAAACAAACAACCATGCTCACATCCGCAGTTATCTTTACAATTATGCTTTTAATGCATAGGAGAGAACGTTGTTTTTAACTAATAGCATTAACAGTGTCTGTAGGAAGTCTAATGAGCTGTCAAGGGCTAGGTCCAAATTTGTTAACTTTGTCCCTGGGATGAATCCCACTGAAAGAACCCCAAACAGAAGTAACGGTGAAATATCCAAACAATTAAACCATGCCCATCAACGTAGCACAATCCGAGCCCGGCCTGTGTTCACAACCCCCTTTTTGTGTAGGATAAATAAGTGGTGGTGCCAGGAGTGCAGGCAGGCAGCCAGGCAGGGTCCTGCCGAGATGCAGAGGGAGGCACTGCTGTGCCATTGTGGCCCTCCGCTGCAGTCCAAAATGGCTCGAATGCCACCCACACTGCAGCTGCAAGTATGAAAGCCAAACCAGGCCAGAGGATATGAGAACAAGCAGGGCTTTTAAAATGGGAAGAGCAGATTGACATGGAGCGGGCCCAGGGTAAATGCAAACACAAGCCTCGTGAGCAAGTGAACGGAATCGATGCCAGGTTTCTTTCTGCGGTGGCCCCAGAGGGAATCTCCAGGTCTAAGAACATGGGTTTGTTTGAACGAGACGTTTTACAGGAACACGCTTGTTCCTCCAGATCCATGCCATGTATGTGTGGTTTTACTGCATGGAAACCACAAAAAGGTTGGCAGCTGAAGGAAGCCAAGATAAGCCTCTGTTTGGGAAATACCCTGGGGAAGGGAGCAGAGGCACCCAGCACTCCCATGTGCACATGTTCTTGGAGTGCTGCACCTAATGGAAGTTTCTGTTCTAAGAGGAATTACAGACTCTAAAGGCATGCCGCCCACGGTCCGGCCCCTCCCACACCTAGAGAGGCTGAGAAGGCACCACGGGACAGTGGGTGGCTCGGACGCAGGATGATACACGTGGCCCTGGTGTGGCGGGGAGGAAGAGTCTTTCGATGAGTTGAACGCTTCACATGTTGGTGCTCATCCGGGACTGGCTGTTTGCTGGAGTGAGTTCACCTTGGCTTCCTTCTCTGGGAGGAGACTGCATCAGGACAAAAGAGACACCACAGGCCCCGTGAGCTTGAAAGAGACCCTCATGCCCAACCCTGAAATTGTCATGGCAGCAGAAAGGGGAGGGAAATCCGGGCCAGAAGAGCTTTCTCCAATCCTGTCAGAATAATCAAGGAATGAATGGGCATTTCTCTGTCTTGGCAGCAAGCGATGGGAAATGCTAAATCAAGCCATTAAACAGGCTTCATTTTCTCCTTAGTGAAGAATCCTGGACGGGCAGCCAAAGCCCAGCACATCTCTCACACTGGCTGGTCTCGTGAAGAATCGGAATGTGTAGTGAAACAGAAGGATTTGGAGGCTTGTCTCCATCGGAAAGGGGCAAATGCCGCCTCCTGTGACAGCCTGCAGTTTCCGTCTGTGCTTGCCAACAAAAGGCTGCATTTGGGCTGTGCTCATCTTGACCTTAAACCCTGCAGCTGTTGCAGGAATTGTCACGTTCGCCCAGAGGCAGGCAGGTACTTAAAAACAGGCAAAACATCTTCCCAGCCTGCTTGGGGCCCACACAGAGTCGCAGATTAAATAAGGCCCTTTGGGACGTGCAGTGGCTGAGCTGCTCTGTTGGCCCCCACTGGCTTGGTCACTCTGCTTGCGCTGATACTCACCGCAAGCCTACATCCCCCAGGGCCCATTTGTCCACCGGCCCATTAAGTCACAGCCCCTTTACCCAAACCCAAACCCTTAGCCCTTTCGCTGACCTTCACATGGATCTGATTACGCAGGACAGCGGCTCTTAGGATCATAGCTTTGGCGCGACGTTGGAACTCCTTTCCCATTAGCAAGGACTTCTCAAAGGTAGTGCTGCGCTGGTCAACATCCCGGGCATATAAAATCTACAGAGAGAACCAGAAATGGTTGAACAGTTCATACGATCATTTGAGACAGCAGCCACGCAAGTGACCGCAGCAATACAAGTCTGGCCAGAAGGCAGGACTCCGTGGAGGACCTTTGTAGAACTGGGGACTTCAAATCTTTAAATTTTGAAAGAAAGTAAGTTTCTAGAGTTTGTATATGGAAATTAAATAGTAAAACTGGTATTGGCTGAAGGCTCAGAAGCCAGAAACAAATCTGGACAGGAGCTAATAAACAGAAACTGTAGTTTGTGCATTCTGCACAACTCTTTCCTTTCCCATTACAAACGTACAAATCCAGCCAAATGCACTTCAGGGCCAAACCAGCCTTCCTTCTACCATTCCAGTCTTTGCCAAGCTGTTCTAACTTCGTGGCACACAATGCAGGCTGTATCTGTACACAGCACTGGCTGCTTCTTATACAGCTGTTATGTTTTTACATTGATCTACCACACTGCAGCAAAAGGAGTGTGCGAACCATTCCACACTTCGCCCCTAGGCAAGCCATTCGCTTCAACAGTAGCCAGACGTCACCTTAGGTGTGATCGATACTCACCTTGCTGTGTGAGTCTATTCTGGCATTAATCAGTCCCTCTAGGATCAGTTGAGTGAGCTCATCTTCCAGGGCTGCCACTGTAGTGTTGAAGGCGGTGGCCATCTTACGCATGTCTGCTGACACATATGGACTGAAATACTAGGAATGAGAGAGACATGTGCAGAAAAAAAGGGAAGAAACCGTTAAGGATTCTCTGCACTGTGTGTAGTGAAAGGCAGAAGGCAAGAATCCCACCACTTGAGTGGGAGAACAACTGTTGGGATGGGATTTACCTGGATGAGGGCCCGATTTCGGATTTGGGTGTAAAGTGTCCTCACATGAGGTGCCAGGTACATGTCCAATAGCAGATTATCCTAGGTAGAATAGGATTATTAGAAGAATTCACAGGGAAAGTACTCCCCAAACCGAGCTTACACAGCAAGAGTGTGGCGTCCGCAAAATGTCCAGATAATGGAAGACAACATTAAATCTAGCAAATTAAAATCACAGAGGCAGTGCCTCACTCACTTTAGGTCTACTTCACTTCCTCACATGCTACAACAAGGAGAGAAAGGAGAGTGCAAATGCAGCACTCGTTATCCGAGCTCAGTCATATCAAGGTCCGGCATTACTGCTGAAGTTGTTCATTCCTTCCTCATTCAGTCATCCATATTTTGCTTTTACTTTATGAATCTGCTTGCCAGGCAGGGAGGCGCTATTAATCCCACCAATACAAATGCTGTGGCCACTCTGTGAAACCCACTGGGAGACCTGGAATACCCAGAACCTACCTTCATCTCATCCAGCATCTTGAGACAAGAGGCGTATTTGGATTCATAGAACTTGAAGATGATGTCGCGGACCTGCGGTTCTAGCTCCAAGAAGAGTTTGAAGGAGCTGCGGATACAGCAGGAGTCAGGGCCTGAAGTCAGCCAGTTCTACCCCCCCTCCTCCAAATTGGCTAGGATTTCTCTGCCCTATGAGAAAGTCAGTGGACTGGACCATCCACCCACTGGGCATGGGGCGTCAAAGGACATCTACTTCACTCTAAACTGACATGGGATTTTGTTGTAACAAAGCAGAACATTCAAGGTCCTACGACTCACTCACCTGCTGGAGATGACATTACGCTGCAGTTCCTGGCGGTCAAAAGTGGCCAGCGCACATAGGCCACCATAAACAGCCACATTGCTAGGAGACAGAAGCTAGAGAGAGAGAACAGAGAGCCCTTCTGAAGAGTAGCACTTCAAACACAACCACTGCTGTAGACCAAAGGAGAGCCAGATAGTCTGAGCCCTTCTCCCAGTTCATACACCCAAGGGAAAGCTGGTCTTCAGGACACCCAAAGTAACCAAGGAAGAGCAAAGATGTCCTCTAAAACAGGCCCAACTTGGAGTTGACCGCACCTGGGATCACACCTGCCATTCTCCCTCATCCCACCCACAACTTTCCCCGCTCCCAACACTTCCTCATCCTTACCTCAGGGAAGTCACAGTGATCAAACGAGGCCAACAGGAAGCACTTTGCCGCCTGCTTGTATTTCCGGGCAGCTAGTTCAGCCAAGCCTAGGAACCAGACTTAGTTAGTCTTTTGTCCAGGACACTAAGGGGGTGAGTTGGGAGAGACATAATGCTAAGTTCATACATAAACGAAGGGGAGCAGCTTCAGAACTATCCACAGTTCTAGGGAACAGGGAACTAAAATGGCAGAGACTACACTGGTCTTGGCCTTGTGTAACCCTGGCTCAGAAAAATCAGAGAGGCAAGAAGAAAATTTGATTGTGCCTGCACATTGCACTATTTGCTATAAACCACCAGGAAAGCCTTGGCTATTGGGTGGAATAGAAATAAAATAAATGATAAAAATTGCACCCAGCAAATTTGGATTAGCACCAAACAAAAAACAAAAAAACCCTGCCATGCCCAGAGTAAGCCACTCACTCACCTGCAGCACACTTCAATTTGGTGAGGATTGCCTGTGTCTGGCTGTCACGTTCTCCTCTTTGCTATGGGGTGGGGAGTGAGGGAGGAGACAGAGAATCAGCAAATGAGCAGGAGCCTTCTATCTAACTCCATCCACTAAGCCACTTCTGCTGTGCATTCTCACTGGCTGCCAGCATGGCCCAAGCAGCTCATCTGAAAAGGCAGATGAGCTGATGCAGAGCTCAGAAGAGGAACACATCGCCTAATGAGATTATAAGGAAACTGGGTCTCCACTCCTTTTATCAAGTGGGGCATCAGAATCCTATCATTACTGGGACATCCAGTGTCAGGTAGTCTGCTCACAGAATCCACCTCCAAGGCAAGGAATAGTCAAGTTATTAACTTTTGGAGGCATAGAGGTGTATCAGGCATGGAGATTAGGGGTTTTAGCCAATCCTGCCTGCCAGCAGAACAGTTTTCCCCTCCTACTTTCACTCCCTTGCATATGCCCCAGATCTGCTCAGGAGGGCTGGGAGATAACTAGAAATAGATCCGGGAGGAATCACAGGAGGGGGAAAAAGAGCAAACAGAAATCAATTTGCACTCCATTAGATTTAATCCTTTATCGTCTCAAGACATCAGTTCAGGGCACCAGGCGACATACAGAGAGTTCATGTAATTCAGCAGTGACCCAGGCTCAAATCCCCACTCAGCTTGAAGCTGATGGGCAACCTTGGACCTGTAACTTTCTTTTAGCATAATCAACCTGTTTGGAAGCTCAAATAAGGGGTTCTGTCTATGCTACTCCTGAGCTCCCTGGAAGAAGGCTGAGATACATCAATGACAAGCACAATAAAATCAAAGCTGCAGGCAAGGCATGTCATAAAAAACATTACCTCTGCAATTTCTGGTGTGGACTCCGCTTTGCTGACATAGCTCAGGACATGGGACCAGTTCTGAAGGTAAACACTGACCTGCAAAGAAAGCAGCAGACACACTCCAGCACTTAACCAGGAGCTGAGTAAGTGTAAAGGTAGCGCCGGCAGGAGCATCCCTGATCATGCAAGCTTCTCCTCCTGGCCAGCGATTAACAATTGTCTGGGACCCCTAGAAATCTGCTGGTGGAACACTGGGCTCCATGTTTCATGCTGAAGGGGAAAGTAGAGGAAACTGCGGAGTTTCAGAGTGGTGGTGCAGTGTTGGGATGGAAGCACGCCTTGAACAAGGGCAGCACCCCACAGGTGGAATGTCCCCCATCCCCTGGAAAAGGGACCCCTGACATATACCGCTCTTTACCTTGATAACATTGAGGCACATGTTAATAACATGCTTTGCGCTGGTGCAGTAATCACGGGCTCGTGAATAACATTTGAGGGCATTGCTGAGGTCCCCACAGTCGAGATAGTGGTCCCCCAAGTCATCATGGCCTCTCCTGGAAAGGAGGGAGAGGGAGGTGGCAAGATAAGCAAGCAGGATTGCAAAAAGACCCAGAGCCCCAAGCAAACCAATGGCCTGACCCTCATCCAAGAAATGCAGCTGCTGGACAGCATGCTCTAGCGCAAGGATGCTCCTGTCGGGGCTTACAGATACTCAGAAAGCATTTATGGCCACAGATTTAGGCAAACTGCAGAATGAAGACACAGAACCCATTTCCAGAGATTCGATATGCCCGTTTGCTGAGCATAGCTAATTAGCAAAATGTGCTCTTGCTCCAAAGCATTCGTTGCCTTCACGTAGCCTCAACGGTCCTTCCGCACATACCTTGTATTGCAAAATTTAGCAGACTCTCCAAAACCACAATGGCTTCTATGGGAATTATTGGAGCAGAATGCGTGTGTACAATTCCTTTACTTTGCATTATTTGAGCTCTGAGATCTGGGTCTGAGGATGGGGAGGGGGAAGCATCTCAGGCAAACATCTGACATCCACAAGGTGGCTTCTGGAATGGTTTTGCAGGTGCAAAGATGTGGAAACCCTTGTGACTGAACAGTCCAGCTGTACAACACTTCCACACAGAGGAGTCCATGAGCTGAACTTGGATTGTGGGCCAAGTATACTGTGTGGCATTATCTACAAGTGAATGGAACCATTGTTTCATCCCAACAAAAATGCTTTTTCAAGTGTGCATAAACCCACACAATTTTAGGAAGCACTTTCTGGATGCACAATGCCATTTAGAATAAACTTTAGGATCTGCCATTGCTATATCTGGATATTCTGTTACAGCTGGTTTCTTTGCACATCACCTGATGCTTTCCTTGATTGAATTCCCTTTATAGTTCTTTAGATCTGTGTCAAGCTTTTCCAACTTGAGAAGAGCTTTTTTGCGTGTTGCTTCAACCCATGCTGTGTCTAGTGGAGGGGGCTCCATCCCTCCATCTGGGACAGCATCAGGTGTGTTCTGCAATTCCCTGAAAAGAAAGCAGTAGATAATAAGTGTGTGGGGGTCATGATTATCTGTTAATAGGTACTATTAACTGGTACCTATTACAGGAAGCTTTAGGAATAGAAAGAGATAATGTATAATCCTGCTCTTTTCAGATTACTGAAAATGCTACTGATTCAGAAAATTAAAAAAGGGAGAGTGGCATTAATATAGTCCTATAAACATGCATCATCTTACTGAAGAACAAGGGAGGCCCACCCATATTCATAATGTGCTACCTTCATGACCAGGTAGGACAATATAGTAGAGCTTTAGTGTAACGGCACCTGTGCCATATTATGTACATCACTGCTGAAGGGTAAGGTCGCCTGGACACAATCAAAGGTACAGTAAGAAGAGTTATGCAGTGCAATGTTGCATATATACACTCAGAAGTAAATCCCATCAAATATAATGGAAATGACCCCAAGGTAAGTATCCAAGGATTGTAGTCACAATATCTGATTATACTGTGTGGGAGAACAACTAGAAGAGGTGGAGAAGGAATCAGGATGGCCTTACTTCATCACTAGTCTCAGCAAAGAAACAGCAATAAATACCCAATGTAAGGATTATATCCCAAGATAATAAGGGAAGAAAGAAGGTGACTGGAGTGTCATAATTACATCAAATTCACCTTCTTCACCAACCTCAATGTTTTTTCACAAATATTTCAACTATGGGCAGAAGAACACAGAACACAAAGAAAAAGCTCTTTGTTTTCTTTTGATAGGATGCATGCATTGCCTTGTGAGACGTTACAGAAGATCAACAACTGGCATTATAAGCAGGAGCAGCACAAGAGGACTGTGTTCCATACAGTCGCTTGGCCAATATGGAGGTTCTCAAAAGCCAGTATAGCACCTGCCAAAGAAAACCTCAGAGCCCCTTCTCCATGTCAGTACCTGGTAGCTTCCGTCAATTTCCGGTGAATTTCTTCATAAACATCAACATTGAATGTTCTTTGGACAAATGAGAGTGCCATCTTGAGGGCTTCTACTCGCAGCTGTGGGCAGTGATCAGCAATGAACTGCAGCCGCTCGATCCTCATCAGCCCGCTGTAACTTGCTGCATACTGCTCCAGATCCTGAACACCAAGCAAAGAGATAGTATCACTTATAGTAGAGCAGGAGCTCCCAAAGTGGCCCCTGTGGGTACTTCCAGTGGCACCTGTGAAGGGGACCCCAATATGGTGCATATAGCAATCTAGCAATTAGGCACAACAAGAGCAGACCAAATGTTCAAATATCCATTTAAATGTGACATCTATATGCCACATCTTCATAAACTATCAGTGCTGCGAAGTCATCAGGCCATTGTATTTTAGGAGGCCATTATCCTTCTAATCTTGTAATATCTGGTTTTTATCTGTCAGCTGTTACAGTGTACTAAGAATATGGAAGATCCCAATTCAAATCCCATTTCTTCTATGAACTCACTAGGCAGAATTACATAATTCATTACCTCTCAACTTCAACCCTTCCATCTAGGATATGATCATCCTGACCAGCATGGTTCAGTGCTAACTGTACTAAGCTGCGGCTCCGGAGAACCAGGTACCAGCCCCCACTTGACCACAAGGCTCACCAGGTGACTTTGCTAAGCCTAACCTACCTCACAGGATTGTTATGAGCACAGAACAGAGAAGGAAAGGGTTATTCAGCTCCTTGCAGAAAATGCAGAATATAAATGTAACACATGAACAAACACAGCAAGATAATGCAAAGAATTTGGAAAATTCAAAAGCACTACATAAACGTGTTACTTTAAAAGAAACAGCAACAGAGGAGTGTAATACAAATGCTGTTGACTATGAAGAAAAGAAAGCAAATGTTGGCTGCTTCTAATAAGTAGTTTGTGGGAAAATTCTGGCAGTAAGAATACAACTTTGTCCATCTCCTACATGCTGCATTCTCTGGAAACATAAACTTTCCAATTCTCATGTGGACCCTTTACTGTACTATTCAAACTCATTTTTGCAACCCAGATAGTCAATGCATACTTGGTAAGCAAAAGCTGCTTTACACGGGCACATCATTTGCTTGATCACAGATGCAGAACCTACATTTTTGACAGCCTAATTCTGATTGCCATTGTGGCTCTCTAGGACATACCAGAGTCGGGTTCTCCACCACATAGTTGATATCTGGAGCATTTTGCTGATCTTCTTGTGGGTCTACATCAATCTGCATGGGTTCTACTGCACCCTGCAATAACAAAGCATGTGTGAAATAGAAGCTAGCAGACTCCTTCCCAACCCCATGGGAAAGAGGATCTCATGTATCAGCAGACATGAATAAAAATTGAAGCATGGCTCTTTGATACTGGGAATTCCAGTCCACAGATCTCAATTTGCAAGAAATACAGCTCCCACTCCATATCCCTCATTTATTCAGCAGATTTCCCTGCTCTGAATGCCTTTTCAAGGTGGAAAGCACAGAGGTTTGGATGGTTTTCTGAACAGCGGCAATCACAGAAGCAAAAGACCAATCCAAAGAGAAGCTCAATAACATCTTACAGCCAGGTGTATAGCCATTTCTACAAAGTCATGACATAACAACACATTTGTTTTCAGGGATCAAGGACAATAGAACAGGATTATATGACATAATAAAAAAGGAGTGGCTCTCTTGATTCACAGTGTATTCACCCAGGTTTATATGTAGATACTGATTCATACAGTCCACCCATCTTGACAAATTTGAGCATGCGTCAATATACTAACAAATGTAGACAAGCCCTTAAAATAGCATTAAAGGTTGGCCAAATTCAATACAATAGTTGAAAACAATATTAATTATAACCACCACCCTATGTGCAAAGGTTGGGTCTGATAGGCTAATCCAAGGGAAAAGGATATCTTGGTTTACTGAATGGGGTGTTCTATAGCTCTGCAGAACCACCAAGAAACCATAACGCATGCTCTTACTTGCCAATCATTGCATGCAGAATCAACTGTTAATGGAAAACTTTCAGTCAAATTTAAAATATCCTGGGTTGCATGTAGGGGTGTGAATCTGCTGACAGAAGTAGTTCTATCAACAGAAGCAGAGCAAATTGCACTTCCCACTATGTGCCCTCAAAATTCCCTCTGGAGCAGACTTTTAGGCAGCATTAAAGGCTTTCTGTGGTAGGGAAGAAAGAGAAAGTCCTCTTCTGCAACAGTGAGTTTAATCCAAAATGGGGCAAATGCATTTCCTAAGGTATGGCTGGCACCAAGGTGTTTGGAGAAATTTATACTGAGACCAAAATATATGGCAGGGATAAAACTGGTGTGCAAATCATGAACTGAAGTCATGGAATAAGTTGGAAATGCAAGAAAAAGGAGGCACTCAACAAGCTGAACAAAAGAATAGGAAGCTAAAGGTACTCCTTGCTTGTGGTATTACTTGGCCTAAGAATGGCCCTGGCATGAATTTGATCAGGTGTACTGAAATACCATCTCCATCTCATTTCTGGAAAAACTTTAATCTAAAGCAGGCTTCCCCAATCTGGAACCTTCCAAGGGGGTAGGACTGCCATTTTTGGCATTCTCCCATCCAGTTATGTGTATACTGAAGCTGTGACAGAAGATGATATTGATTTTAAATAAAAAGCAGCCTTTTGGGGAGCAGTGTTTAATTCTTTGATTCCTGGTTACTTCCCTCCCATTAAAATTGCCTTGCCTTCGCAGCTTGATTTTTCCCCCCTGCAGGGTTCTAGATATAACTTTCCTTGAAGACACAAATCTGGAAGTGTGCAGGGGGAGAAGGCAACTAGGGAAAAAAACAACTTCAAGCAAAAAGAGAAAGATGGAAGTGAGAGATTTCAGCACCTCAGCATCTCCTCTGTTTAAACCTACAGGCTCCCAAGGCTGATTTTCATTTAAAATACACATGTGCTTTATGTGTAACATGTCACTTAGACCTATATGTGTACCCTAGAATAGAGCTCAGAATCCTCTGCAACACACAGGACTTCCATGATAGTAGTTTTGCTGCAGAGAGAGAGTATCCTAAAGGAAGAAAGGCCATAATATCCTGGTCTCAAAAAAGAGCAATCTTATCTCAAAAATTTAGATATGGAGGCAAGTGAAATAATGATGCTCGATCTGAATGTTTCTCCATGTAAACTTTTTAAAAAAACTTTATAAGGTGTATGTTTCCATGAGAAATGAAAAAAACTCAAGCTAGAATAATCAATGGCATGGGATGATACAAGCTGTGGTCCATCACGTTCCTCATCCCTGTGCTGAAGTTTTCAGATGCTACAAGTTAACTGATTATAAGCAAATGCCTCAACTATATTTAAAATCACAGCTTTCCACATTACTCCCAGAACCTTGTTTTTCTTTCTGTTGACTCTATGTCAATAAGGACTGAGGAAAAAAGACATAAAGCTGATTTCAACAAATTTGCTCAATTTTGCATGTTAAAAGCTGCAGAATGGATATGATCATATGACAATACTGTTATGATGTCACACCATTGGTCCATCGTTCTTACTACTGCATGGAGGGCAACTTGTGTCCTTCCTGATGTTGCTGGAGTACAACTCCCACCGTCATCTCTAATCACTGGATGGGGCTGACAGAAGTTGGAGTTCAAGAACATCTGGAGGTGCACAGGTTCCTCACTGCTGGCCTACTCTTCCTAGCAGTAGCTTTCCACAGTCTTGGAGCCAAATTTGTCTTACTACTGAGCTAAAACCTTCCATGGAAACTGGGGAGTTTGTGGACAAAGAATCTGGAGAATTTAACACAGAATTTTAGAAGCCTTGGAACCTAAATACAGAATTCATTGGAAAGGCTGGTTGCACCCAAGAGGTCAGAGCTGATTGTTTAGGTCTTCCATGGAAACCGAGTTCTGGTTGCCTCTTCCCTCTGAGGTAAGGTGGGTGGGTGGTTTCCTTCTAAAGAAAGACTTTCTTACTGGTAGCTCCTTCTCCCTCCTCCCCATGGCCCAGTTGTTAGCCTTTAGCTGCCAAACAGAAGCCTTGTTTTTTCTTGGCTTCAATGTGATCAACTGATCTTGTTGATTTAATTAATCTACTGATATTTTGGTTAATTATAATTTTATTATGTTAATTCTTTTCCTTGTTCTACCAACCCCCTATCCACTCTTACATAAAGTGGCACAAATATATTGACTAGGTGCTCAACAATACAGTGAAAAAGCTTTTGGTATTTGAAAGTTGTATCCATTTCACAGAAAGAAGCTAAGTTAAATAAATATGTCTTAATGCTGATAAAACTCAAGTCATTATCACGCAGTCATCCTTGAGTGCTTTCTCCTTTGAGATACCTCATAGAGCAGGGTGCAGGCTGATAAGCAGGCACTCAGGCTGAAGTCTCCAGATGTACCTGGGAGGAAGAGGTCTGACCTACTGCTGCGGGGGGCGTTGTATAGATCTGTCACTGACGAGGAAGCTGAGCTCGGAACTGAACTATCCCTCATCCTGTCCTGACTCTCTGTAACCCCTCGCCCTGACATAGAGCTCGCCGGCTGCTAAAGGAAAGAAAGGAAATTAATGGCTCTGCAGTCACAAACACCTCTTGCTCATGAGGGCTAGTATAATATGCTCTGGTTTTCCTTTTCTTGCACTGAAGGCTTTCATTAATTCCACACAGTTTACTGTGCCAATGCCCTTTCATCATTAGCATTCAAGGGTCACTGTAAGTGAACTATAGAAAGATAGGCCTGAATGCAATGATCCTGTCTTCCAGTGTCAACCAGAGAAAGAGCAACAAATTCCAAGACACCATTGGCATGCATGTAACATTTCTTAAATATGCTAGGTCACATAACTGCCATTTACTATTAATTTCTCTCAGTTGTGCTCTATAGTCTCAGAAAACCTCTGGTATGAGAATTAAATCTAGTCAACATTTCCACTGCAGAAAATGCCTTCAGCAGGAGATTGATAGCTTTCCCTAACCTGGCATGCTCCAGATGTTTTGGACTACAACTTCCAACTGATGAGAGAGTTAAAGTCTGCAACTTCTGGAGGGCATCAGGGCTGGGGAAGCTGCTTCAGGAAAAGAGAGATATACTATGATGCAGAACTTGCTGAAGAACCATTACGAAGCTGAAAGCTAGGAACAGAGAAGTTCATGCTGAACATAATCTGTTCTGTGTCCTAGCCTTAACTTCCACATGCAGTCAGATGTTTTACTTATTCAGAAATATCCTATCCAGCCAGCCACAGAGGTCAGGATGAAAAAGAATGAACCATGGTCTGAAAGAATTATATGATCTTTACACCCTAAAAATGAACTGAGTAACAACCCAGATATTGCAACCGAAAAAGGTCAGCTTCAGTGGGGTGGGGGTAGAGGAATACCATATAAGTAGATGCTAGAAGAGGCATATGCCTATTTCAGCTGAATATCTGTAATAAAATACATTTTAGAAAATGTTCTATAGAAAGGATGGGAAACCCCTGGCCCAGAAGGGTACCCCACTCAGCCTACAGAAGTTTGGTTCCAATGAGAAGGCAAGTGACATATGCCACATGAAGCCAGAAACTTGGCCAATGCTGCTCCTCTTCCCATCACTTCCCAAGTCCCTTTCTTTGGGCTGAGAAAGGCACCAAGAAAATTCAAATAGGTGAAGGGAGGGATATGATATGCACCCATAACAATTGGCATCACCTGACCAATGGAGTGTCCAGTAAATAAAAATGTGGTTCCTCACCTAAACCTATTGAACACCTTAAAGGATTGCATAAGTTGTAAATTCATAACTTTGTCCCTCATGCAAATCCTATCCTAAATAAAGACTCAAATATGGCTACATTAAACAATATGGGAAAGGAGAACATATGTGATATAGTGGCTAAGAGTGCTGATTTGTGATTCAAGAGATATGGGTTCTAGTCCCCACTTTGCCATGAAGCCCACTGTGTGACTTTGAGTCAGTCACTGACTCTCAACCTAACCTAACCTAACCTAACCTAACCGACAGGATTGCTGTTGTGAGAACAAAATGAAGAGGACCACCTTGGGTTCTCTGCAAAGGAAGAAAGGTAAGATATAGATGTAATGTAATGATAATGAGCTGCAGCTTGGCACACAAGTTCTTACATACTAATATAGTTACTTTTTTCCTTATTTCTCACATGTACAGCAGAGGTTACAGTATGCAAGAATTACTAGACTTCAGATACCATGTCTCTCTTGATTTTGATCTTGCTACTCTTTAGATACAAATGTATAAATTAGGGAGGCACACCCCAAAGAACCAGTTTACTTTAAAACAGACACACCAGTAGAATTAAGATAATTCTTATTATCCAGTTATTCCAGCTTTCTAGTGGCAGTACTTATTTTCTTATTATGTGAGCTTACTAGTAAATACATAATCAGTCTGGAGAAGTATTTCATAGTTGTGAAATCAAGCAGATCTCTACTATTTAAGTAGTTATATTATAGCCCCTTTGCATTAACATAACTGGAGATCAGGAAGTGGGAAGGCAAAGTGGGTACAGACAAAACAATAAAGATATTTTCTCAAGCTGCATTGCAGTCTTAGCGTACAACTGATACTAGGATTTTTCTTCATACTAGAAATTTACATTGAAAGATCTTACGAAACATCCAAACTGAGTACACTTAACTTATCCCAAAAACAATATGTCTTTAATTTTCTATATCCCACAACATGGTGTGGCTCCCACCTACATAAGAGAAAACCAAGAGTGGTTCTTTTCCCCTGATAGCAGCACTAACGCCTTCAGAGGTCGCTTTAGCAGCTCCTACAAAAGCAGAATTGGGGCGCAGCGCAAGACGCAGAACCAAATTCATGGGACTGCAGGGCAGGTTGCGAGGCCTCTTTGCTTCGCCACAGCCACCGCCAGCGGACCGTTCCCTAATCCAGACAACGGGCCTAAGCCGGTGTCCAAGCCAGTCTGGTGGTGATACGTATCCCCCTTTCGGCCCCGTCCTCAAGATTTCAGCCTGCGGTGGCTGCCCAGCGAATGACACGCGCGCTCTTTTGCTCTTTTGCAGATTTTGACACGATCCCCACCCGCCACCAAGCAGGATCCTTTCCACCCGCTGCGCACGTTATCCAGCTGGCCATACAACCACACATCTCTTGAAGAAACCCCCCACTCGGCCCCCGAAACTTCCACGATACCTGTAAATTAAAGACTTGAACGGGTAGCGGCATATTGACCCTCGCGCCGTACACTTCCGGGCCACTTCCTGCCCCTCCTCCAACTTCCACTTCCGGGTCGCTCTCTCAGACTTGCACACGTCCGTTCTACAGGTGAAGCCCTTAAAGGGGCCACGGCACCTTCTGTGCTTCTCCTGCTCCCCCCGCCCCCTCCCCCGCGTAGCTGCTGCAGTTTTGTTTGATGATGGCTCCGAATCATGAGCTGAGGAGCTGCTAAGGATTGCGAAGCGGCGGCTCAAACTTCCGTCGCTGCAAAAACTTGTTTGAAGTTGCTGCTCATAGGTAGGTGGGAGGCGAGAGGAGGGGCAGAACGTCCTTTCCCTTTACGGGAGAAAGGGGATGCTCAGGTGTATGTGTCCTTGTTGCCAGGGCGACGAGCAGGGGGTGTGGAAGAGCAGTGGTTCCCATGACAACCGGCCTGGGGAGCCTTAAAGGCCTGGAAGGGCTTTTACTACGGGGGCTTTCAGACATAAACCGTGATTCATTCTATCTGCTTCAGGCGTTGTCGGGGGCTAATGAGCCAATATGGGGAAACGAGACCAAATCTAGTCTATTAGAAATGGTTGGCTCACCCCAACTTTAAACCTATCCATTGCCCAAAATTAGCATAGTCCTAACGATCAACTTGATTCTATGTATGCTTACTTCAGTGTAAGTCTTATTTTTTGAAGTACATGAAAATCACATCTAGATAGATATTATGGAGTTGTTTGCGGGGCACACCCGTTGCAGAGAGATGCAAATTTAGGATACTGACATCACACAATGCCAAGAAGTGGCAGTACCTTCATAACAGAGGAAATCCTTTGTATGCAGACTTTTCTTAGCTCAGTCTCCTGCAAAAGGATCAGGTAATAAGTGACTGGAGACACCTCTACTTTATGCTTTGGAAAGCTGCTGCCCATCACAGTAACACTAGAGCAATGGTTTAACTCTGTATAAAGCAGCTTCATGGGTTCATGAGGAGGAAAAAATGCAAAGAAAGCCGCCTCTTTGCTGAGCTTTAATCTGGCTTGCTTTTTGTTTTATGCTGTCTTTAAACATTTGGTCTCAATAATCAGGATTAAAGCTTGTTTTTTGTTAAAGCAAATTAACATATAAAATGACTTGAGATATTTTCCTCTCTTCCATGGAACAAGCACTGACTTTGTGTTTTATTATTAGGATGGTCATCCCAGAACTCACAAATTGAAAGTTGGCAGCCCCTGTGGTGTATGAGTCCCTTAAAGGTGATGTGGCATGGCTGGAAAATTCCTAGGACTAGACACACAACTGAGCTAATTCATGATCGTTCTCAGAAGCTTCATTGTCTCTTGGAAACAATGTCCCAGCTTTACAATATGGCAAGGGCCCTTGGGGCTGAAGAATGAGCTTTTCCTGCATTAGGCTTAGTAAAATCTGCTTCCTGCTCTCAGTTATCATTTGTGCAGTTCTCCTCTTGCTAATCCCCAAATACCAGACCAGTTGGAAATCTAAGAGCTACCCACAGCCAAGACCACCACTTGTTGTTAATGGTTCCAGCAAGAGCGATACCCCACCACAGCAGGTGGAGTCTGGCTCCATTGATCGTTTGGATGATGAGACTAACAATATAGTACCCTTGGTGAAAGTGGAACGAGTAGAAAAATGGAGTCCGTATATCATAGACACTGGCAGATCCAGACTGAAAACTAATGATAAGATGAACAGGAGACCAAGTCATCCATTGTACGATGTGAAGAAAGACCATATGGAACTTGATGAAATCACTACTAAAGAAAAGCTGGAGTTAAAGGATCTTTTTATTGCTGTGAAAACAACAAGGAAATACCATAAAACAAGGTTAAGCTTGCTCTTCCAAACATGGATTTCTCAAGCCAAGGGGCAGGTAAGAAAGCTAAAATATTTAGAGCCAGTGTGGTGTAGCAGTTAGAGTGCTGAACTGGGACTCTGGAGATCTGGGTTCCAGTACCCACTTGCCCATGAAACTCACCAAGTACCATCGGCCAGTCATTGAGTCTCAGCCTGATCTATGTTACAGGGTTGTTGTGAGAGTAAAGTGCAGAGGAGGAGGACTATGTAAGTCACCTCACATTCCTCACAAGATGAAAAAAGAAAGGATATAAATATAATGTAATAACAAATAACTAACTTAACAGTGTGTTAATTTTGCCAACTCTAATATTTTACCACAATAACTTTGGACATTAGGGGGCCCATGGAGCATATGTGATTTAAAACTTCTGTTATCTATCCGCTGTTGTAATGTCTACAGTTCAGTTTTCACATCTTCTTACTGAAAGGGATGAGGAGACATTTTATATAGTGAAAGTGATTCTAATTTGTCAAAAATCAAGCACCACTGCAATGCACTTCTGTACTTTTATGTGCACTTTGTTGTTTAGAGTTGCATTTCATAATATTTAGAAGGCTAAAGAGACTGGCAGAAAATTCTGTGAATTTGACAGCACCAGTGGACAATATTGCACATAAACTTCATACAAAAGGCATTATAAACTCCAAAAGACTATATTAGGAAGAAGAAATATATTTTTAAAATAAAAGCCAAGAACAAAGCATGGGAGAACAGATAACACAAACGAAGTGCAGCAGTCTTAAAGATGTCATATTGGATTGCTTGAGCACCACCACCCTTCCAATAACAGTGACAACTTCACATGACTTAACAAAAACGGGTTCCCTGTGTTCTAGAATGAAACACTCTGTAAACAGGAACAGCGGAGTCTGTGGCGAGTGTCTTTGGCAATGGGTGAAGCAAAGGGTATATTTGGTTAGAGTTCAGGTTTCTCAGGGAGCCTGGACTGCTAACTTTACTTTTCATGCTGCTATCAGCTACCATAATACAACTTTTACATTACTTACATTTGGAACTGCACATTTAGTACATGTGTAATGATTTTAAAGTGTTAGGTTTGTAAAGTGTTATGCATGTCTTCCTTTAAATTTTGGTAAGTTTCAGAAGTGCAAGGAGGTGGCAGAGGGGGATGAGTGGGTGAGGTGATTGGTTGGTGACTGAGTGTGCATGAGCAGAGCTTGAAAGTGTGCAAGGGGAGAGAGAGAGATACTAGCAGTCTGTCATCAGTTGCCAGTCAGGTGTGGTCAGTCAGCCGTCTGCAGAATCTGAAGAGGCATGTCCTGCTTACTCTCCTTTAATATGTTTGGACTGGAGTGTCTTTAACTTTCTTGTTATCTCCCTCTCTTTCTCTTAATAAGTACGTTGACCAGTCTATTCTATTTATCTCAGTTTATTCTTTCCCTTCTGCACTTAGGTTTCTGTCAGCTTCTGACTTTCACACCTTATAATATTTGACAATATTAGGTTTTGATTCTCCATAGTCATCAAAGAGGATGCGGGCCAGAGTATAGTTCAGCTGAAAAAGGTGGCACAGGATTGAAAAGTGGTGAGATTTGGCCATAGGATCACTTATAGTTGGACATGAGTATAAGTTGCTAATATGTCCGCTAACTATTCTTTCCCTTTCCTTTTGAATCTTACAATGCTTTTCAAAGCACCCTATGAGATTCTTATGAGAAGGCTGCCTTGTCAGATTGTGAAGACCGCTGACTGTCAACAGCCAGAAGACTGCTAGTATCTATTTCTCTCCCCTTGTACACTTTCAAGCTCTGCTCCTGCACACTCAGTCACCAACCAATCACCTCACTCATTCCCTCCTTTTACCCCCTCCTTGCACTTCTGAAACTTACCAACATTTAAAGGAACACACTCATAACACTTTAGATCATTAAAGTGTGGTTGCACATGAACAAAAACAACAGAAAGGACTTAATAGTGTCAAAGAACAAATCTAATATTTCTTGTAAATCTGCTAACTGAGCAGTGAGTGACAATGAAAATATACTTTTTGTAGCATGACCTGAGTTAAACAAATAATATATTTACTTTTACCTTTTGGTTTTGAGATAGGCATATTAGTACTCAGCTACATTTACTCTATAAACCTAGCTATTTGTATATTTTGTTTTAATGTGGTGAGAAACCTTCCTTCCCCACCAGAAAAAAGCTTAGAAATGAACTAGAAAGTTCTTTTTCAGCCCAACATGTAGGAAAGAGACACTTTTGCTTGAAGCACCTGGAAACCCATAGAATGTTCTCTCTTTTCAGTGTCTTGACTGAAACCATCATCAGTTTTTCCTTGAAATTTTCAAGAAGTGGAGTAGTTGTTTATTTTTCATGTTTCCTACAGGCATTTATATTCACTGACTGGGAAGATCAGGAGCTAAGACTTAGAGCAGGTGAGCTGCTTCCCATATTTCTCAAAGTAGGTTTGGAGGTTTGTATTTATACTATGACATGTTAAAGTTGCTGCTGTCTTAAGAGAAGGTCTGTAAGTCAGCAATAGAGCACATGTTTTGCATGCAGGAGGTCCATGTTTTGGTCTCTTGCATCTCTTGTGGAAAAAGTGGAAGTATTTTTAGGTAGCAGGAGATATAAACTATCTCTGCTTTAGACTCTTGTTTACTCTGTTTGGAGGAGTTCTCAATATTTGGCTAGATTGGGGAGAGTCAATGAGAGTCAAAATTTCATTTTGAAGAAGATCTTGGGGCTGCATTCTAGTGGGTAGGGACACAAACAAAAGTGACTGGGGCTGAAAAATTCATTACTCCCAAATGCCATTGTTATGCATACATATACAGTAAGAAGCATGTCTGCTCAGAAATAAGCATGAGCATAATGTCTGTTCACAGGAAAGGACAAGCCTCTGCATGTCTTCTTGGAAGCAGAAGCAGAACTGAATTACTTAGTAGCTTTTCCCAATGGCTCTACCCTGTCTGTCCTTGGGGAACTTTTATCTCTTATCAGCAACTGCCCATGGAATACTCATAAGCAAAACATGAGTGCAATAGCACGTTTCTGTCTATCATCTTCAGCAACTGACATACATAGGTGTCTCTTGTAGTAGCATACAGTAGCCATTAGCAGCCTTTTTCTGCATGAATCCGCCCAGTCCCCCTTTAAAACCATCCAAATTGATGGGTGTCACCACATCTTGTGGAAATTAATGCCACAGCTTAAGTATTCACAGCATGAATTGCTTTTCTCCATCCCAAATCTCCCATCAATAAGCTTCATGGGATGGCTCTGGGTTGTAGAGTGGAGAGGGAGGAGAGGGCTCCCTGTCCACTTTTTGCACAGTGTGCATCATTCTGTACACCTCTGCCATGCCTTCTGATACCCTTTTGCCAAACTACGTAGTCCCAGATGTTGTAACCTTTCCTCATGGAGACTTACTGCAACCCCTTGATTTGCCAGACTCAACATAATCGTTCTTTCACTGAGTCTGTAGACAATAATAAAGTATACAAATTTCATATTGTAAAGAAAATTTCATAAGCATCTATTGTAACTATTTTAGGTCTGACAAATATGACTAAGATCGCAGTGGTTGAAGATTATTATTCTTGTTGTGTATTGCAGCTCTGCAATAAATAAAGTAAACTGCTTTGAGCAGAAGCAGTATGTGTTTTAAGGCCTTGTTTTCTACTGTGCATATGATTATGCAAGGAGATTAAGTCCCTGTGTAATTAGTTGCTTGTTCTGCCTTCCTTGAATGTGCTTTCTTTGAGGGGTATCCTAATCATTCTGATTGTATAAATGAACTTTGCTGTCTTAAGTTCACAACTTACCGCTAATGTAGATCTAAAGTTTAGCTTGCATTTGTTTTGTTTTTGTTATGCATACTGTCCCATATTACTCAATGGAAAATTGTAATGTCCATGATGTTGAGCAAGACTGTCTTGCCTATATGTTTATTGTTTCCAGTTTGCATTTCCTGTAGCCCATAGATGCAAGGTCAGGATCCTGTTCTGCTAGTATCAGGTTTCTATTTCCCATTGAATATGTGGCAGGCCATTACATACATGAGCCCCACAATGTCTGTTGACTTCTACTAATCATGTAGCTTCCCCCATTGTAATTATTTGTTTTACAGGGGACCGTGTAATCAATACCAATTGCTCAGCTGTTCACACCCGCCAAGCTCTCTGCTGCAAGATGTCAGTAGAATATGATAAATTCCTAGAATCTGAGCGAAAGTAAGTAAGAGACACATTTTGTCTGTTGGTGCTTGACATTCTCCTTTTTGGACTGAACAAGCTACCCTGATCACAGTTTATAAGCCTAAAAGGAAAAAAAACAAATTTGGCTGAAAGCATGGGTAGCCAGTCAAGTTATGATTGTGATTTAAATTTATGCAATTAAGAAAAGCTTCTTCACATGTCTCTTTTCATCAGTCTTTTACCATCATTAATCCTGAGAAGTAGAGAGCTTCCCAAAGGAAGTTTGATAGAAAGAACACTTCATGCTCTGACCTTTTCTGTGTCTCTCATCTGCTTTTTCTGCAGGTGGTTTTGTCATGTGGATGATGATAACTATGTAAACCTGAAGAATCTTCTGCGTCTCTTATCTGCTTTTTCACACAGTCAAGATGTATATTTGGGAAGACCAAGTCTGGACCATCCTATTGAAGCAGTAGGCCATGTCCAGAATGATGGATCAGTAAGCAGGCACACAAATTGGGACTTTATTTTCCAAAATGGAGCAACTCTCAATTTTCATCTAGAGTTCTTCCTCCTCCTTTGTTATTTGTTACTTTCCACTCTACACTAGCATGGGGCTAGGGAACACTTATGTAATACATGACCCAAAGTGAATTTCTGCAGCTTCAGAGTCAATTTTTTTTCACATTTAAAAAAAAAAGAAGATTCAGATTTTTTTTTCAAATATCATCATAGCCTTCTCTACTATATTGATATGAGAGAAGGGACACAATGTCTGTGACTCAGATGGAAATGCACACTTCCCTGAATTAAAGTGATTACTTGCATTCCTTTGTAAAATACAACCCATTTGTGAATGGTACAAAAATATTGTACCCTTCAAAAGCAAGATACACAATTGCTGCCCATCTCATCAGTAGCCAATATAGCAGAAACATTTGTCAGTGACACAGTCAGCTAAGAATTTTTTTAGCAGTCATTGTGTAACTTCTGAGCTTTCCACTGAAGGAAATCCAAACCTATTACAATTTCAGGGCTTGTCTTATATTTAAGCACCAGCTTGGTATGCATGTAAGTGCTCAGAATTCTATATAGGTGAGTGAGGAGGCTGAGCAAGAATGTACTGCTTCATCTCTCCAATGAGCCCATTATAGAAAACGGGGGATGCTGGAAGAGCTCAGCCTCCTCCTTTGCACCCAGCATAGAAACCTAGGTGGCATCCCACCTTTGTCAACAAGCAAGCTAATAATTTCTGAGGACCTGTTTACCCAGCCTTTGTAAGGAAACAAGCCTCTTTCACAGCATAGTGATTCTGCTCTTGATGTACATGTCAGTGCCATGGTGCATTTGTATTGTGCAGGCATTACAGACAGATGTGTCTGATGCAGATCTTCAGACAGTACCGCCATAAGCCCAGGTGAATGTAGTCTTTCACCTGTAGCATGTGGTAAGGCATACTTTACTGAGCTAATTAGATGTAACAGTAAAAAACATATCTACCAGTTTTAGCGGACATAGGTAGCTGGTAAGCTACATATGATTTCTCCACACATAACAATACAGCGGCAAAACTCAGGTTTTGGGGTAAAGAAGCCAGGAAAGTAAATTGCTGCAGTGTGAAATGGGTTAGGGTTCCATGTGGAATGGAAAACAAACTAGTTTGTGGATTAGGCCGTGCTTGCACTAAGCAAGTCATATTTCCATTGCTTATTATTGTCCTTGCTATTCTGTACTTTGTAGGGAAAAAAAGCTGCTGATTATTCTGCCTTGTATTATGTCACTTTTGTGTATATTATGCCACTTTGTCGTAATCCCATATACACTTATAGTCCTGTACTCATTTACTTGAAGGCAAGTCCACTGAACTCATTCGGCTGCAGTTTTATGAATAGTTTCATACAAGGAGTGCAAGACCTGGGGTGTAACTAGATTTGCACTATTGTCTTCTCAGCATTTCTGAGTCCATTGAAAGTCAGATCATTTTCTAAGCCCCCTTAATAAAAGCTTAACACGAACGGATTGATCCTGGGATCAGATTGTGATACAGACCAAGGTTTTGGGGGCAAATGTATCAAGTATGTTTGGCAAATCAAGACTAAGCTTTCTTAGACTTCCTGCTGTTATTTCGATAGGTTTTGACTAAAAAGGGAGCACTTAGCTTTCTTCACACATCTCTGTTTATCTTGCTAGACTTCTGCAAAGTTCTGGTTTGCCACAGGTGGTGCAGGATTCTGTATCAGCAGAGGCCTTGCCCTAAAGATGAGCCCCTGGGCTAGGTATGTACGTTCTGGAAAATATGCTGCCACCCCCACAACCCTGAGTTACTTTCTGAGTTAGTCCTAACCCTGACAGGGTCTAGGAGAGTTGCATTCTCTGGTTCCTTTCTTTGAACAGCCTGGGGAGTTTCATCAGCACTGCAGAGAGGATTCGTCTCCCTGATGACTGCACCATTGGCTATATCATCGAGGGGCTGTTGGAAGTGAAACTGCTGCACAGCCCCTTGTTCCACTCCCATCTGGAAAACCTGCAACGGCTGCGTGGTGAGGCTGTGCTCAAACAGGTAAAGACAAATCCAGCCTTTTCTTGTCCTTTCCTAAAAATAGATGTATTTACATAGATTGGTAGATGAGCCTAGTCTAAGGATTGACTGGGTGTAGTGATGCTGAAGATGCAAACACACACAGGCAGCAAAACCTCACGCTTGTGAAGGCATAGCACAACCATGGGAAGACTAAGGAAGGGAAACAATGAAAAAGGGAAATCTGTACAGGTGCTTAACCAAAATCCATAGATATCAATGTGCATTCAAGTTACTGTAGTGGGGCGAAAGTGGGTGGCAGGGCAGGGTGCATCAAAGAAAAGTTGGGGAGATGTTGAGCTTCCAAGTGGGTTTTGAAGAAGACTTTAAAAGTAGAGCCAGTTCTCTATTTTCTTCTCAAATGATGGCAATAACTATTAAAATAGCATCCTATGAATTACTTGTATGCTTGTGGTCACTTGGTGTTTTTTGGTTTTTGTTTTGCTTCTCTCTCTAGATCCATACTATCCTTGAGTATTAGGATAATACATTAGAACTTTCCTAATGAAGTTTTCTGCAACAGTGGATATGGGTGGCTGCCAGATAAAGGGAATGAGCCGCATCTTGTATCAGCTTTTTAACAAGAAAGCACACACTTCCATTTTTTGCTGCTCATCCTATTTCTGTGTAGCAAAAGAGAATAGCTTTGTTGCATTCTCATTCATGGCCAGCAGGTTATCTTATGCGGCTGTCTCAGACATACTCCCCTGAACAAAATATCCTAACAGCAGCAGAAATACTAATCTTCCAAAAGTTTGTTGCACATTCAAGCCTATGCTTAATAAAGTTTTCCACCAAGGATCAGATGTCTGTTGCAGTCTCTCTTAAAAGTGAGGCTAATTTAAATTTGTCCCGCATGAAGGGCTTCCTAAGAGAGTTTATCTGTGGAAATGTCCCATATGTTTTAAATCTTGTTGTGTCCATTTGCTGAAACATAATCTCTATCCCTGTCCCTGTGTCAGCAGCCTCTACAAATGTATTGCAATGATGTGGAGGTGCTATATCCATTAGGGCTGGTGCCTGGTGGTATGTGAGTTTGAAAAAACGAACATTATTAATACCCCATGGAGAAGTGTCATAGGAAAGCATTTTGACAAACTCCATGTGGAAAATGTAAATACTAAGCTGACCCTCAGTAAGATTAGACTTGACTTGAATGAGTGTGGTTATAATTTCAAGGCCAATTTTATTGGCTGGAATTAACAAAAAACATGCATGGCAGCTCTTAAAGATGGGTCTCTAATGTGGCTAGGGAACACTAAATTCAGAAGCATAATTTCTAAAAATTGGAGGTGTTGGTTGTTTGATTTGGGACAAGACTTAGGAACTGTTCCAGGCCACTTGAGGCTTGGGGCAGGGACATTGAAGACATGCTTTGTTTTGGTATTGTTCGTTTTGCTATAGGTGGGAAATGTGCCCTCTTGGGCGCTTCTTATCTGGACCCAAGCTGTGTTTGCACCTTCCTGAAAGATGAGTGAGAATGCCTCATCAGAAGCCTATTTATGGCAGCCATTCATTTTCACATGACTCCTGCTGTGTATGTTGGAAATAACATGAGGCTTCCCCTCTCTCTGGCCTCATCCAGCTTTTAATTTTTCCTCAGATCACTTAAGTGTATTGTTTGCCATGCTGTGGCCAGTGCAGTTTCTGAGTCTGCTCATGTGTGTTTGTTCCAGGTGACCTTGAGTTATGGTGGTCCTGAGAATAAACATAATGTTGTGAACGTGGGTGAAGTGTTCAGTGTACAACAAGATCCAACTCGGTGCGTACATCACTGCTTTCCAAATGAAATCCTTTGCTATTCTGAGTTGTCCAAGAAATCCAAGCACTGGAGGAAAAAATGGCATTTCTTTAGCCTGAAAGTAGTAGCAGGTTTGCATATTTGTAAGCCAAGGGGCTTTGAATCCTTTGACAATTGTTTCTTTTCCTCTCTTTGCAGATTCAAATCTGTCCATTGCCTCCTCTACCCTGACACTGTATGGTGCCCCACTCCAATGGTGAAATGACATCAGTCACATGTATCTCCTGTGTCTTTGAGCAGACAAAGCTGCATTTGCGGGAGAAGAGCAAAAGTCGAAGCAAGTTTCCAGCCACGTCAGCCACTGTTGGAAATGATCTTTGGGAAACTCTCTGGCTTTGAAACATTTTGTAACCTGTTTCTGCAAGCCTCTTTTCACCGCTTATCCAACCTCATATATGTCCTGTTAAGATCAAACCTAATCCCTACTGCAGCCTTCTCCAAGCTGGTACTCTCCAGATGTGTTGAATTACAGTCCCCATCATTCTGGTTGGAAATAATGGTTATCATCTAAAGTGGTGGTCCCCAAACTTTTTCAGGCTGCTGTCCCATTTCCTCTTGGGTGACAACCCTAGTGCCCCCATGCCTCTTTCTTTGTATTGGATCTCTTTAAATTAGCTCTACTGGAAATTTAAAACAACCACTCAGTGCCCTCCTGGATCTTTCCACTGCCCCGGGGAGGGGCAGGGGACATTACTGTCTGCTGTGGGAATCACTGATCTAGAGGATACCAGATTAGGGAAGGTGGTCCTACTGAGACTATATTGATAAAACCTCAGGAATGCAACAGTCTGGCACTGTAGCAATATGGTTGAGGGTCAAATTTTCTGTCAGTATATCTGCAGCAAAGCACAAAGGCTTAGTGTGAGAGAGAAAATTGCACATGGGAAGATAAGTTTTGTTTGGGAAAGCATCACTTTCAAGAAACCAGCCTGTTTGCTCTGTCTCTCCATGTATATCTTCCTAGGACCACAGTAGGTGTGCTGGAGATTGCTTTTCCATTAGTGCATAGACGACCAGTGTCTACAGAAGACACAGCCCCAGAACTATTATGCTCCTGTGGTTTAGGCTCTTGACTTTATGGCCTCTTAAAAACTAACTAGTTACCAGCCTTGACTTGAATATTCTGTGCCCTAACCACTAAGTATTTCAGGTTAGTTAACATGTATGCTGGCTGGACCACCATATATATAATCCTTGCTTTTTATATTGCAGCTGATCTTCATATCCACAAGCAATAGGCTGGATAGATAAGGAAAGAATATTTGTAACTTGTTTAGAGAATGGGGAAGGTGTGTTCTTTTAAGAGCCTTTGAGTCTTCTGTTATTGAGTGAATAAGCTCTATAAAGCACACTTCTGAGCCCGGAGCTGAGAATCTCCTTCAGTTTGTCTTTGGCCAGCATAAATGATACATTACGTACAGATGTGGTGTAATAATCCTTGTAAATATTGTAGTAATGTTCACCAAAAGGCAGAAGGTTATGTTTTGAAATAAGGTGAAAGAATAGGAATAATATGTGCTGAGTCCTGAGATGAAATAAATAGTAGTTGATATGTTGACAGCTTAGCAGTTGTTTCCCCCATGAAAGCAACAAGGGTGATAGTCTGATCTTTAACATGAAAACTTATGCATTAACCTTTTACGGTAAGTGTTGAAATTTGTGTTTGGGAAAGCACTAAGTGAGCAACTCTGGTTGTGATGGAGACAGTATTTCCTTGAAATATTTATTTGTTCCATCCTTTCTCCAGAGGCTTTGCACCCATCCCTTCTTCACAAAGGAGAAGGAATTTCCTTAAATGTTTGTTTTTGCAGCTTTTGTGCCTGACGTGCCTGCATGCTGCAAGAACCAGAATAACAGTTGTGGTTATAAATAATAGCCTTCTGATGTTTTCCATCATCACTCCTTTTGGCTCTTATGATGACAATTGTATGCATTGCTATCTCAATTTTAGGCATTCCTGTCACTTTGATGCATCTTTTGACAGAATTGGCACCTAGAAGCTGAAGCAGCAATGGATCACATTATTAGCTATGAAGCTTTTTTGAGAGTGCAATTTGACATTAGCTTGGTGATCTAAAAAACTCTGGTAACTGCAGGTGTGTACAAATCTGTTGTAAAGAGCTGGGCAGGGCAAGGTATCATTTTCTTGTTGTGGAAAGTAGCTTTTGTTCTGCATCGATCTTTGCTTTTCCCTTTAGATCTCTTCCTCACACTGCTTGGTTGTATACCTCCTCCTTACAATGGTCTTTAGTTTGTCTTTGCTCATCATCAGTCCTACTTGTATCCCCCTCCAAAAAAGCTATAGAAATATGCCCATTAGTTCCATATAGTTTTCATTATTAATTCTGGATACAGAATTTTGTTTCCTTGGCACATCATTTTGCCTTCTGGACTGTACAGTCTCCCTGCTTTTGTGCCAGTGTAGATCACTGGTGTAGGTTGAGCTGCTCAGACTCATGTTTGGAGTGCTGCAGCCTTTGTTTCTATGACTGAATGCAGGAACATTCCCTGTGAAACTGCCATCACTTTCCAAAAATAAGCTCCTGTAGAAATACACAGTTTTCTTACCATGTGTGAAAAAAGTTGAAATGGTGATAAGCATGCATACACAGCACTGCAATACGATTGTGTGGACCCAGCATCTTCAGCATGATATTGCTAATGGCTTTCTATGAACATAGCAGCGCTAAAGTGGGGGTGAGGCCCTTCCAGTGTTGTTGGTCTGGGGCTCCCATCATCTTTTTCAGTGACTATGCTGGCTAGTGCTGATGGGAGTTGTCTACCAGCACCTGGAATGCCACACATTCCCTAGCCATGTCTTACAGCTGTAGCAGAATACAATCAGAAGCCATGTCTGTGACATACAGAGAAATCTGACTGGATGTCACTCACGGACAGAAAATAATTTTGAAGTACAGGAGGAATAAACTGACAGCACTCAAGTATGTAATGAGAGAGTGCTAGTTTTCCAGGCTCAGTAAGGTCAATAAGACCATTACTTGGTTCACGTGCACCACTTTGTCAAGGAAGTTATGCTCGATTTGCTTCTCTATCAATTTTCTTGTTAACCAAATGACGCTTGCATTTACTAGCTCAATTGCTTTCACAGTTCTCTTCTAGATGGGAACACATATTTGATTTGGTTCTTTAAAAATATTCATTTGCTGGCTTTGCACTGAATTGATTTTGTCTTGTTAGACTGCCTTCAACAGCTAATTAAGGTGTGTACATCATTGCTTATAATGGGTGCTTGCTAAAAACATATATTAAGGGTGCAGTTCTATCAGTTTCACCCTTGGTGATCGTGAGCCCCCTTTGCCTCCTGCTTTGCATTTTTGCCTATTTGGGGTTTTTTGCCCAACTGGTGAAAACATTTCAGCAGGAGTGCAAGGAAGCTGGGAGAGGCTCAGGATAGCTTCATCCTGGGTTCTTCCTTGCCCCACGAAGTATCACATTTTTCCTCTCAAAAGTTGACCTCTGAAGCCAGCTGGTGTGCTTCTTTCTGTGCTGGTGGGAAGAGTTTCAGGGGCTCGATCTCCAGCTCCCCCTTCCCGGGTTGGAGTACTGTCTCAGGCATTGAGGGATGGAGGCCCTGAACAATCTGGTCCCTCAGCTGCTGCCTTGGTGCCATAGGATTCCTCCTTTGCACATTTTCCCCAGTTGAAACAAAGCTTTACCTAGTATACCTAACAGCTGAATATTAGATAGATTCTAAGCGCTTTAGATTCATTTTAGTTTGAGAATCTACAACGATTTTACATTTTAGTGCTTAATTTTAAATGGTGGAAATGTACATTTAGAAATATCTGTGGCTTTAGATGTGACACTTCCACCCTGACAATGTGGTAAAGCTATAACCTAATGGCACGGGCACTCTTTCTGCACGTGGTCTGAAGAAGATAATTAAATTCTTAAGGTCTGCAAAAGGATTTTGCACTAATAAATAATGATTCCTTAAAGCAATAACTACACAACTTACAACACAATATACTGTTTACCCATGACTGAACACTTTCCATGGTAGGCATACACTGGAAAGTACAGTGTTCAAACACACATGAAAAGCAAGTGTTGACCAGATCATATGAATACTTGCAGAATCTTTCTCATTGTTGCTGGTTTTCACTGAAGCATGACTTCTACCTGTTCTCAAGTTGGTAATGGAAAATAATAGATGGCAAAGGCAACTAGTAGGGCATGATGGCAAGATTAATTTCTTGGTAGTCTCCAGCACTGCATAATGTTCCATAAGATTTAAAGCTTTTCAGCAGTACAACCAAAGTGAATCAGGAACAGACTTTTATTTTTATTAGGGAGTTAAAGACCAAAGATACCTGCAGCTAGATTAGTCACTTATGGAATGGATCAGGTAGCTGGATGAATGTAATGCAAGTGATAATGGAATCTGAATCACTGCTCTCCGTCGCTGACTCTCACAATTCATTTTACTGTGGTTAAGTGCTTGTCTGGGAACTCCAGCTGCTAGTGTTCAAGCTCAACCCTGTTGCTCTCCACCTGTTGCTGCTGGTCACCAGTCCACTGCACAATATTGTCCCTCAGGCGTTGCATGATGACTGTAGATTCCTTGTAGAACTCTAGGCTGAGGGTTTCCAGGCCAGCAATGGCCTTATCAAAGGCAGCCTTAGCTAATTTTGTTGCCTGCTGCGGGTTGTTGAGAACCTCATAATGAAGGATTGAGTAATTCAGAGCCACAGCCAAGGCTAAAGGATGCGTAGGCTCCATGTACCTCTGAGTGATTTCCTGAGCCTCCCCATAGGCTTTCTCTGCAGATTTCACTAGCGTCTCCTTGGTATCAGGCAGGGCCACTTCAGCTAAGTAGCGGTAACCATCTCCTTTCATCTTCAGGTAAAAGGCCTGGCTTTCATAATCCGCCTCACTGCAGTGCTTCAGTAGTACATAATCTAATAGGCTAAGGATCTCCCAACACTGCGCTTCCAGCTCCTTCTTTATGGTCTCACGATAAGCTTGGGCTTGTTCCTTCTGCTTTCCAACCCCCTGCTCCACTGACTGCTTTAGCCGTCTCCAAGAAGAACAGCGCTCTTGTATTAAGAGCTTATAGGCCTCAGAAAGCAGGGTCTTCTCTTCATGGGTTAGTGGCTCTTTCCCTTCCATCACAAGTTGCCTCATGGTAGCAGCCATGTCCTTGTATCTGCCACATTGTTCTGCTAGCTGCGCTGCCTGCACCAGCTGCTTGCGGCTCAACATTGACAGGGAGGGAGGGAGCAGCAGTCACAGACTGGCCTGTATGGGCCAGGGGAAGGTTCCAGCTCTGTGGCAGACAACAAGTGACGTCACAGGGACAAGGCTGTTCCGGAACATTCTGAAGCAACCATCCCATACCCACATAAACTGCAGTATATTATTCTACCAAATCCACAGGGCGGTTGGAACAAAACATTCTGCTAAATGAAGGCCTTGGCGTCCTTAAGTACCGCAAGTAATGTCCAGGCACATGGTGTGTGGCAAGTTTTATGGGGCAATCACATGGCTTTGTGGGTTAGAAAGGGTGGTCTAATGCTCAATCCTGGCAAAGAAACCAGGTTTGGTGGGGGAGGACTACAGATGCCACTCAGTTTATAAGAGGCCATGATGCTACAGATAGTTGTCTAGAAATATTTTAAAAGATAGCAAAGTAGTTGGTAACTTTTACTGAACCTTGTCAGCAAAATATTTTATATCGCATTCTTTCTAAAGGATATAGGAGTGTTGTACCTTAAATAAGGATCACTGAGGTCAATATGTTTGGTGGTGCTAAATTAGTACAAGTTGTCAGTACTTTTAGAAATAAATACTATTCTGGCACCAGGTATTTAATCATAACAGCTCCATATACTCTTACAGAAGAAACTTTTCAAACTTTGTAGAGAGCGCTAGACCTCTTGCAGCCCACTGCTGAACAGAGTTACCCACTTTTGGATAACCTCTCAGATTTGTATGTGGGCTGTCTTTGAAGACTGTTGAAAACTGGCAATTAATTAATGTATTGGATAAACTATTACTGGATTAGCTTTTGTGAACACATTTTGCCAGTGATAAAAGGGCTTCCTCTCTGAGCACAATTCCAAGTGCTGTTGCAGTGGCATACCTTTCGAGCCTTGCATGGCTTGAGACCTGGGTACCTTATGGGCCATGTACATGTTCCCGCATCAACATAAATATACACTGATACATCCTTTGGCAGCCTTCATGAGCTGACACAAGCAGTACTCATGAGAGGACCTTCACCATAATAAAAAGGGACTTCAGCAGCAATCAGATAAAAGAAAAATGGAGGAATAAGGAAGCTCTAGTCTACAGGCCTAAAAACAACTGAATGGCTGCCATATAGATAACAAGCTGAAGCGACTTCATTTATTTTATTTGGGAGTCCTCATTAGGTACAGTTTCTTCCTGTGAGCGAACCAAACACAAGACACACCTGCAGTCAACTTCAATTAAAGGTTGCTCATTGGTGTCGATGTGGTTGCTCGAGGAGGGGGCAATGTGGTAATACAGTGCTTACAACGGGCTGTATTGTAGGGTTGTTATAAACCACTCTCGGCCCTTTTCACCCTACCAGGCTCCCTCAATCTAAACTTTCTAAACAGAGCGATACGCACGAGAAAAATTGAATTTCATCTTCATGGAGACTTGAGTGGCTCTACTTTTTCGGCAACGGATGCGGGCGACACCCACGCAGCTGTGATAAAATTCGCGCTTTCTCCAGTGCCTCCGAGAAGGAGCAGTGGTGGCATTTTCTTGGCTTGCATGCGAAAAAAGATGGCGCCAAAAGTCACCGGGAAGACCCGTCTTTTCACAAAGGACCGGTCACTCTAAAAAGGCTCCGTATCTCTATGAGTGGGAGAAGCCAGGAACCGGAGCCATTCTTGCCGGGGATCCATTTTTAAAGCGGGGGCGGGGGGGGCGTCCCGTCTGCCCGGGGGCTCAAACCGGGGGAGGGGCGGGGCGTGGCTCGCGGGGGGCGTTCCCAGCCTCGTCGCCTGGCCCCGCCGCAGGAGATGGAGCGCTTCTCGGGCCGCCGGGCGCTGGTGACCGGGGCGGGCAAAGGTATGGTCCCCGGACTGCGCTGTGGCTGGGCTGATCTTGAGGGTTTCCGGTGGAAAGCTGTGCCCTCGAGGGTGCGATCCTCGGCCTCTTGAGACGGCCCCCAAGTCCTCCAGCCACCAGCATCGCCTGCAGGACTTTCGGCCTGTCGAAGACACGCCGGGAGCTGCGCTTTTACCTGTCTTTCTACTGCTTTTGCAGGGATTGGCCGGGCTGTGGCGGTGGCCCTGAACCGTGCTGGGGCTCAGGTGGTCGCACTGAGCCGGACCCAGGCGGATCTCGACAACCTGCAAAAGGAGGTAGAGCTCATTTCCCCCACCTAGTAACCCTTTCCACCCATCTATGCACCATAGCCCGGGGAAGACTTCCTCATTTCAATACCTACTAGTCCTGGTAGCTAAATATTGCCTGTGGTACCGGAGGCAGAATCACTGGGGAAGACAAGTGCCACAGTGCTGCTCCCCTCAGGTCTTCCCGAAGGCATTTGGTTGGCCAATGTGGGGTCAGATAGCTAGACTAGATAGGGCCCATAGCCTTTGTACCCCACCTATCTTAAACCTTTTCACCTTTTCTCACTAGCAGTACAGCAGTTCACACTTCTTTGTAGGTTTTCTCAGCTCATGTGAAGTCAGGGCAACTGATGACTCTTCCGGTGTTGTAACCTGCACATCCTACCAGTCCAAACCAGCATGGGTTTTGGATGCCAAAATATCTGGAAGGTCACAAGTTGCTCACCCTGTTCCCTCCCCCCAGAAAGACACTCCGGCAAGTGCCCACTGACCTAAATTTGCAGCACTTCTCCTCTACCACCTTCAGAAGATCTTGGATAGGATTGCCAGACTCGGGATGGCTTCTGGTCAGATGTGGCCACAGTTGCCAGCATTGCCCTCCCCATGCAGCCTGCACGACAAGGACAAAAGCAGTGCTGAATCCTCCTTTCTCCAGCATAGAGATGCAGGGGAAAGAAATTCTAATTGTACTGAATTTCTCAACATTTTGTCTGCATTAAAGATGTAGGAGTCTTGCCAGAATTGTTTCATCACAAAATCACTATGACAGGAGAAGTCGCACCTAGCACAAGTTTGCCTTCTGTGCAATTCTTGAAATATTTTCGCACATGAAACTGAGAGGGTATTTCAGTGCCTTTTGTGAGATGTGCAATTATTAATGCAAGATACAAAATGGAAGAGTGCTTCTCTGGAAGCAAGCGAAATCAAAAGATCTTCCATTCTTGTTACAAATGCAGAGCATACAAAACACACTTTGGGGTTTGTATTGAAACAACAGGATCATCTTCAGAATTAAGACTGGCCCTGACAACTCTATTCTTGAAGCACCAGTCCCCTAATTACAGGAATCACATGTTCTCAGCCTCTTACCCAAATTAGAAATGAGATGAATATAATAATAAATTGTTCACGTCATACCTATGTAATCTCCCTTTCTTGTGCATTGGACCCTAAATGCTAAAACAAGTTCCCTTTCCAGCCTGCTAACTGTGCCTCAATCTTTTCCTGATTTCTCTGTCCTTCAGTGCCCTGGCATCCAGATACTATGCGTAGACCTAGCAGATTGGGAAGCTACAGAGGCAGCATTGAGCCAAGTGGGAGATACTGACCTGCTGGTGAATAATGCAGCTGTAGCATTGCTGCAGCCATTCCTAGAGGTGACCAAGGAAGCCTTTGACAGGTAATCCTCAACACAACTGTGGTTATTGATGGCCAGTACTAGGTAGCTTGGGGAAGATATTTTGGGTTGCAAGCTGTGAGATACCAATGTACCTTCTAGGTTTTGATTCTCTGGATGCCATTTGCATCCCATTTGGAAAGAGAAGTGTAATAAAATCTTGACCCTTGATAGATGCTTACATTTTAACCTGTCACACAGCTTGCCAAGGAAAATAGCTCGACCACAGAGGGAGGAACAACATATTTTTCCTCTCCTCTGGGATCAAGTTTATATTTGATCTGCTTGGGCCTTGCCATGGTCAGTATTCTACAAGATGGGTGTCAGTTTACAGATTACAGCCTCTGCCCTGGGCAGAGGTTGGGCTTTAGAAATCCTCCTATACCGTTGTCTATTTTATTTTGCATTTTAATCTGATTTTAATTTTATATAGGTCTTTTAGTGTCAACGTTCGGGCAGTGCTGCATGTTTCTAAGGTGAGAAAAAGTCCGTGCAGTGTTAGGATAACCATGTTCACTCCCGAGTAGCAGAACAGTACTGAAGTGGCAATCTTTAGTACTGGTCTGGCGTTCTGGCTGTATCAGACCCAGAGAAATGAGACTGCTCTGTCCTTTGTGCTTGGCAGGAATGGTCCGTCATTGTGAGTGAATGGCTGAAGCATGGTGAGGGGTGGCACATTTGGTTACCATGTAACACCATGGAGAATCAACAGCTCATTCTAATGCTTCCATATGTCAGCATGGCTTTTCATTGTGTGAAGTCAGTAACAGTGTTTTTCCGTGGTTTCCCCATTTCAGCCAGCAAGCTTGGCAGCAAGAACAAGCTGCCACTTCCCACTGCCGTGTTCACTTAGCAGTGACTGAATTGCCAGCGGGCAGGCAGTGATCGGCTCTCTCTGTGCTCTCTGTCCGTCCCCCTTCCTGGCGCAAGCTCCCCCACGCCTGCTGCCTCGCCCATCTCACACGCTGCCTGGCCTGGCTGGTCTGCCAAGATGCCTGCCTGGCAATGTGGTGGCGCTCTGTCGCCTTGCAAGGGCCCACCTTTTGTGTGAAGCGTGCGGGGTGGGAATGCGCCCAGCCTCTCGTGTGACCCTAGTGCAAGGCCCCCATCAGGCAGCATGGCAGTGCATGAAGTGGGCAAGGCAGCAGGCTTGGCGGGGCAGCTGAGCATCGGAGGAAGGATGGGGAGGCATGTCCCGCGGGAGCAACCATGGGGGCAGCCCTCCACCCATGGCACTCGTGCCCGTGTTGCTGCTCTCCTTGTGCTGAACTGCGTAAGTTCTGTGCATAGGAGGTGAGCACTGGGCGCACATGCTGCAAGGAAGGGGGACGTGTGAGTGGGTAGGGGGTGGGTGCTTTTGCATGCACAGAGAGAGTGCCAGCAACAGGGTGATGGGTGCTGCTTTGCCGCTCCTGCTACTGCAATTCGTCAACAGGGGCTCCGTGGAGCAGCAGGGGGGAAAAGGCAGCTGCTTGAGGCCACACCCAGGAGAGCGTGCAGACCAGTTGGGGCGAGGCAGAAGCAGTGGACGCTGGGATTGGCCCCCAGCCACAGGGTGGGGGGTGATGGAACCATCTGAGGGAAGATGGAGGTGCATGGAAACTACTCAGGAGTAGTTACCTCCTGAATGTGTGAACACAGGACACCAGGCAAGAAAGGTGGCGTCATGGTCTTCCTTAGTGTCACCTGGGAACACAGCCACTCAGTTCCGTGGGACTCAGCCCCACCTCACTGTTGGGCAGTGTTTTAGATTTGTCTGGAGATGCTGACTCCCAGCCCTCCTTTGCTGTCACACATTTCAGATTGTTGCTCAGAAGATGATCGCCAGGGGCGTGCCAGGTGCCATTGTGAATGTCTCCAGTCAGGCATCTCAGCGGGCTCTGACTGATCACACCGTTTACTGTGAGTATAGCTGCCCAGTTCCTCTGATGACCTTTCTAGTGGAACACAGAAGGAAACTGCAAGCAATTACTGAGTAGACAGCAAGGCCAGCATTGTTCCAAGTCAGGGATGATGCTGTGTCCTGAGAATATGGGATTGAGGCAAAAGCTCAACTTTGCACTTGCTGATTTACATATGCCCTAAAGTCTGTGTGCGTGTGGTGGGGAGAGTCTTTAAGGACTTGTTTCCTAAGGACACTTCTATTTGTAAAAAGGGTTGTGTGGACAGGGAGAGGAGGGATTTGATTGCAGAAAAAAGCCCAGGCAGAAAGATTCCAGGAAGGGCGGCAGGGGAAGTAAAGTGGGTGAGACCCCGGCTAATCCAGAGGAGACAGTTGAGCAGAGATGGATTATCAGAGCTACAGGACCCTTGTTTCAGGAAGTGCCCATGGACAGCAGGGTGGTAGGAGAGAGGGCTTCCCAGAGATTTGGGGCCCCAGCTCTAGGAGGTTGCCCCAAAACCCCTCTGCCTCAAACTATGCTCCTGAGAGTGAAAAGGGACAGTCGGGTGAGAGGAAAAAAGCAGGCAGTAACTTCACACACTCATTTCCTATCTTACTGAAGGTTCCACCAAGAGCGCCTTGGACATGCTGACAAAATCAATGGCTCTGGAACTGGGGCCCCATCAGGTAACAACAGATTTGTGACATGGCAAGTGGAGCGGGAGCGGCCTTGTCTGTGATGAGTGCCGGGCAGACAAAGCAGTGTATACAAAATAATGGTTGAAGCATGATACAGGATTTCATCACGGCCAGCCTTCCCCAGCTTGGTGCCCTACAAGTCCCATCAGCCCCACCCAGCATGACACAACTGGGAATGAGGAGAGCTGTCGTTCAAAACGTCTAGCAGGGCCCAGGCTGGGAAAGGTACCCTTGACCTAAGAGGCAGACTCGGCTGGATCCTCGTTCTGGAGTGAGCCGGTGGAGTGAGCCGCGGGCCCCCCTGCAAGCCAGTGGGAAGGTAGAGCTCTGTTTAGGGACAACGGGGGTGGAGAATGAAGGCTGAGCAGGTGAGCTGCTGTCATGCATGGGCTGATCCTCCTCTCATTCTCTGCTGTTCCTGCTTTTCAAGATTCGGGTAAACAGCGTCAACCCCACTGTAGTCATGACTGACATGGGGCGCCTGAACTGGACCGATCCCCAAAAAGCTGGCGCGATGATGAGCCGCATCCCCATGCGGAAATTTGCAGGTAAATGGGGGCAGAGGGTCCCCGGGCTAAAGGGCAAGGGGGGCTTGTGCAAACTTGGAAACCTGGTGGAAGAAGGGCTACCTGTGCACGGCAGTCTCCTGGGAGTAGGGAGCCCAGGGACTGGGGCCGCTTCGACAAGACTGGCCAGATCTGGGCCCAGGCCTGTGCTTTCCTAGCCACACTGCCTGTGCTGGTGGGACCGGGAGGGAGCATCTCCAGCCACGGACATCTCTGCAATGGAGGGAAAGCCTCCCTCTTTCCCACTGATGTCCTCACTATTCCTGATCAAGGCAACTGGACATCCTGCCGGGGATAAGCAAAATTGCAACATTCCCTTTTCCCGACAGGGGCTTAATTTTGCTTATCCCCTTGTGCCTGAGGCAGGAAAGCCCCGCTTTCTCCCTCTCCTCTCCTGCATCTGGCCCGCTCCAGACCTGCTCTAGCTCCACCCTCCTACCTACCGACTGCACTGCTGTAGGGCAGCGGAGCCTGGCTCAGTCAGTCAGGCATGGAGGGAGGTGCCCTGGAGCGCTCCACGGAAAGACTGCGCAGCCAGGTTCGTAGGTGCTCATGCTCTGGCTGGCGTGGCCCTTCAGAGAGCCTGGCTACGTGCCTGCTCACTCCGCAGAGCCACAGACGAGGTGACACCAGTGCCTATTGCAGGGTGGCGTGTCAGCAGCAGCAGGGCCTGGGGAGTGGGCGACGCACGCCACTTGCCATGCTGCTGCCCAGGACGTAGTGGTGAGGCCTCGCCTCATCCCATGGGAGGGCTGGCCCTGATGGAGCACCTGGTTTGCTTGCATGCTGAGGGCCCGAGTTTAGTTCCTGGCATCTCAAGGTACGGCCATGAAAGAACCTTGGCTGAAGTGCTGATAAACTGCTGCCAGTCAGTGTTGGCATTACTGGACTAGACAGCCCAAGGGTCCGGCTCATTATAAGGCAGCTTCCTACTTTCCTGTGATTCTGCTGTCACGGCTGCCTCCAGACTCTCCTTCAGCAACTCTCTCCTTTCAGAGGTGGATGATGTGGTGAACGGCATCCTCTTCTTGCTGAGTGACCAAAGCAACATGACAACCGGTGCCATGCTGCCCATCGATGGGGGATTCCTTGCCTGCTGAAGCTACAGTGGTGGCTTATACCCCCATTTCCCAGTGCCCCGTGCAGTCTAGTCCGAATGGTCATCCAAAAGTGCCGCAGAGCCATGGAATGAAATCCCGTGGGAGGCGAAGCTCCGCTTCTGGGATCTGTGAGAAGAGTGAAGCAGAGGTGTCCGTCCTGCTGCTGCTGCCCCTAAGCAAACCAGGCCTGCTTACTTATGGAGAAATGTTTATTGTATAAAATAAGAGGTGTTCAGCTCATCACTCTACACGATGATTAAAAACTGGACCCGTCTCCATCCCAACCCCTCCGAAGCTCTCTCTGCTCCAGCCCCCAGTCCATCACTCGTGACAAAAGGAAGGGGTTGGCCATCACCCTCCCACTGGCACCCTTCCCCCCACTTTTCTTCTTTTAATCTTACAGAAAGATTCCTGTCATGTGGCTCTGTTCTGCCCGGGCTGGACAAGGTAAAGAGACCGTCCTTCTCTTCCCCACCTTTGGGAGAGTTGATGGTCAGTCAGCCAGCTCAGGAGCAGCGCACAAGCTGAATCCCTGCAAGGCGAAGACAGCTTCGGGTGGTACAGAGCTGCACAATCATGGAGTTTAGCTAGTGTCTCGCACAATAAAGCACTAGTGGCTAGTTCTTCAACCTGTGTCCTGTTTGTCTTTCCTGCCCCTGCGGGGGTTCTTATCTGCTCCCACCACAATGCTCTAGCACCAATAGAAGTAGTAAGAAAGGGCTGGTCTGTGCACTCGTGCATTACCCCTGGCATGGAGTCACAGGGAGCATGCTTCTCCCACTGCTTTGCCCCTGGGGGTGGGACAGCATCGAGCTCCTCTTCCTCCCATGCGGCCCTTTTACATCGACACAGACGTTAAATCAAAGAGACATTTAAAAAACACTGACTTCGTACATGATGAAGGGCCCCGCCACTCCCTTTGCGGGAACACCCAGCGAACGCTCCCCCCTCGCACAGGCAAGGAGGAGACACCCATAACATGCTGCAACTCAGATGCCCTCAGAACACAGTGCACTTCTTGCCAGGCTTCTTCACCGGTGGGGGACAGAGGACAGCACGGATAGCTTCATCAAAGACAGTCTTGAGGCCTCGCTGTGTAAGGGCAGAGCATTCGAGGTACTTCACGGAACCTGCGGGAGGCAAGGAGATGAGATGGCTTGGGAGGAAGTTGAGGTTTCTCTCCTTCACTCACGGATCCTAGGTCCTTATTAACAGCATTGTCAAAAAGCAGCAAGGTACTTCTGGTGCTCCTGACAGCAAAAAGAGGGAAGCTGTAGAAGCGAATTGTTCTAAGGGTAAAATGCTGGGTCTTCCACAATTCAGAGCTCTTTCTCCAGAGACATGGAGCCTCTTTCAGCTAAAGGCTGAGCTCAGTTCAGGTCCTAATTTTTAGGAGATGCTCTTGGGGATCGCATTCCAATAGCGGTTGGGGCAGAAGGCTAATGGGAAGGGACCAGATTAGCCCAAATGCCAGCCTATTTGCACTTAAAGTTCTTCCTGCAAGTAACAAATCCTTGGCAGGCATTTCAGCCCTTCAGAAAGCGACAGGAAGAGAATGTGAAATTCAGGGGAATACCACATAGTGATCGGAGGTGAGCAGGGGGAAGGCTATCTGAGGAAACCCGGGGGGCAACTTGAAACCCCAGGTAGGCTATGGTTGGATTACGTGGCCTGGGGTGCAATAGCATGACTCACCTATCTCCCTGGCCATGGCTAGACCTTGGGGGTAGGTAATGGGTGCCAGTTTCTTGTCACGCAGCCTCTCAATGGTGTCCTTATCATCCCTCAGATCCAGCTTGGTGCCGACCAAGATGATAGGTGTGTTGGGGCAGTGATGTCGGACCTCTGGGTACCACTAAAAAAAACGAAAGGAACAGGTGAGCCAATCTCCTCGGCTGCTGACTTGGGGAGCTGGTCCAGCCGAAGAAAAACGGTGGCAGGGCATGACGACTCTTTGCCAAGAGAGGGCTTCAGAGAGCGGGGGCTGATTGTGCTTCCCTGCAAGCTCCCCATGAGCTCTCATGCTTTTTAATTCTGTTCTGGAGCCATCCCTTGTCAGCCTTGGTTAACTCGAAGTTCCCTCTGCCAATCTGCAGCATGGCTGCCACCAGCAGCCCTGTTCTCAATGGTGTCCTTATCATCCCTCAGATCCAGCTTGGTGCCGACCAAGATGATAGGTGTGTTGGGGCAGTGATGTCGGACCTCTGGGTACCACTAAAAAAAACGAAAGGAACAGGTGAGCCAATCTCCTCGGCTGCTGACTTGGGGAGCTGGTCCAGCCGAAGAAAAACGGTGGCAGGGCATGACGACTCTTTGCCAAGAGAGGGCTTCAGAGAGCGGGGGCTGATTGTGCTTCCCTGCAAGCTCCCCATGAGCTCTCATGCTTTTTAATTCTGTTCTGGAGCCATCCCTTGTCAGCCTTGGTTAACTCGAAGTTCCCTCTGCCAATCTGCAGCATGGCTGCCACCAGCAGCCCTGTTCCGCCCCGCACGGTCATTTCTCCATGCTTATAAGAGAGAGCATATTACCTTGGCTCGAACATTTTCGAAGGAAGCCGGGCTCACCAGTGAGAAACAGATCAGGAAAACATCCTGCAGGGACAGGAACATGTGCCTTCATATGGAATAGTCTGTACAGCAAACTCCCTCGCACAGCCTTAGTTGGTTTCGGCCATGTCCCCCATACCAGCCACTCGGAGGTCATTGCTCATTCTAGCCCATTTCCACCCTCTCTCAGAATACCAGATTTTTACAGAAAGGAGATGTAATATATGCTTAATGTGCATTAAACTGGGCTGAAGATTTGCATCATTAGCCAGACTCAGTTGCTATGAAGCATGATGTATCTGGTGCAGAATTTACAGGAGCACTGCTTATTTTGGTCATATTTTGTCTTGCTTGCAAAGGGACACAGTCCAACTCCGCTAATGATGCTGGCAACAAACCCAGCACTTACTGTCTGGGGGTAGGAAAGAGGTCGCAATCGGTCATAGTCTTCTTGTCCTGCTGTGTCCCACAGACCCAGGTTAACTGGCTTTCCATCTACCATGACATTGGCAGAATAATTATCAAACCTGGCGAGAAAATGTTCTTGTCAAGCAACAGATAAATTCTAACCCTGCTCCCCATCCAATACTATATGCTCAAGGTCATTTAGTTTCATACCAGATTAATTATGCTAAAATAATTCCCATTCTCTAGTTCTCTTGACTCAATCAGTTAACTAATGAATTTTAATTAAGGTGTCTTCTCAATCACTTGCTTATTTAACTCCCAACACATTCTGTTGCATACATAAGAAAAGATTAGTAAAAACATGGTATTTCTACCCCATCTGATTTATTAATATACTTTAAAAATATTTACATTTATTCTGTGCAAGCATCCTTCCAATTTCTCTCACTTTTTTCTTTTTTGTTTTCATAAATTAAGATAGTACTATTTCACCTTATAAAAAGGAAAATAATTTGTGGTGCTAGAAACTCTATAATTAAAGCCATCCACTAGAGCAGGGGACCCCAAACATTTTCTAATGGGGGCCAGTTGACAGGTGCCAGTGGTGGGCACGGGCTGTCAAGGTGGTGCCATCGGGGGGGGGGGCGGGCCCCGGGGGGGGAGAGGAACACAGGACGGGGGGGAAGGGGGGGTGGGGGGGGGTGCAGAGCGAGGTGCCGGCTTGCTCGCGAGATTGTTTTCTCCGAGCTAGTCCAAAATGACCTCCTTGCAAGCAAGCTGCGCACCCAGTGAGTGCAAACCTGTGGGGCGGGCTGGTTAAATGAGGATGGCAGGCCGGATCCGGCCCGCGGGCCTTAGTTTGAGGACCCATGCTCTAGAGAATCACAGAATCCTATTTCCTACAACTCCCAGCACTGCCCAGACTGCTAGGCTGGAGAATACCGGGACATACCAGACTTTTTCTGACCAAATATGCATAGGATTGCACCCTAAAAGGGGCCATTCAAGGGACAGGTAACGGGCTATTCATCAGTACACCCACTGTTGAACCCCTAAAGCATGGAACCTCCAAACAGGAAACTTGCAAGTGTCGGCCGGGGGGGGGTGCTTTGCTCAGTGGGACTTACTTCAGGGTAATGGAATGATCTTAGCCATGGGGATCAGCTCTGCTGGATCACACAGTAGATAGATCAAGTGCTGCACTAAACCAGTTTTAATTCTGTCCTACTGATGGCAGGAAAAAAAGGCCTTAGCAGTGCTAGTGGACTCTAGCACAGAAGCAACCCTAGTTAATCTATCACATTGCAGCAAGTTACTGAACAACATTCACAAGCAGATATATCAAAGCAGCTAAAAATCAACCATGTCTCTGCATGGACTCTCTGAGCCAAAAAAGCAGGTAAGTAGCCTGAATCTCATGAACATTTCTCATAATGAAATTATGTTTGGGTTACTGGCTCTAATTTAGCTAGGGCTATTTGATGCAGCAACATTCCTACACTGAAAATCTCATATATGAGACAGCACATGGTCCCTCCATAGATCATCTTCTGCAACCATTACACAAGGAGCATTTTTGTTGTGTGTGAAAACACACTGGGAAACAATAGCTAATTTTGAACTCTCAGTGGCCGTACTTATAGAACAGACTATTTATCCATGTCACAGTTGTGGGATCCCAGGCAGAACAATCCTATAACTTCTCCAACAGTATATAGACGGTATGCATTCCACACTCCCAAGGCCACAGGCAATGGCCATTATCCAGTGGGGTGCTGCATGCTGCTGATTCTATGGTGCTGTGATTCCCTCCTGCAAGTGGGACCCACCATCCGCACAATTCAGATCTATTGCTTCAGGAGCAACTGCTCGTTTCAGGAATGGGGCATGTCAGCGGAGCTCACATAAAAGGGCTCTGCCAGTGGGTCTTAATCAAGAAACTAGCATGCCTGCTTGTTTAGGGGCTTCCTCTAGCAACCGTTACATCTCCATTGCCCAGACAGTGGGATCTGCTTGCATGAAAGAATCACTGGAAGGGGCCACTAAATCAGTGATGGCATAACAGAATTGGCCAGGGCACAGCACCCATGGGGTACCGCTCCTTGGGGCAGGAAGCAAGTTCTAGAGTCTGACATTTCTACCCTTCCCAGTCACCACAGAAAGCACCATGGCAGCTTGCCTTCTGGCCCGGCAAGTCAACAAGAGAGGCTGTGTGGCTTGTCTGGCTGCATAAAACAGCAACAAGAGCCCGTGAAAGCCGCCTCCTTCCTCCTGTCTGCCTGGCTCTTGCCAGGAGAGCTCTCAAAAGACAAAGGACTCTGAGCTCTCTGTTTATCGAAGACCAAACCTTTAGGATCACTCTCTAGGGGCGCAATCCTATCACCCCCACAGTAGATGCTCATCAGCCACTGAACTGGGAGGCTTCTGGGCATCCAGTGGGAGGAACGAGGTGCAGCAGCAATCTGTCACTGCTACAGCACCGCACACCTTTCATTTCCTCTAGAGAGCTGTTTTGGACCAGGAAGGTAGACAGAAGGAGGCTGCAGTGCCAACAGGAATCGGTGTAAGCCCAGGGCTGTGAAGGCTCAGCCTTTGGAGTCCCAGCTCCGAGATCCTAGGGACTCAGATCTGAAGAATTTCCATGGCCTTCAAGGTACACTCTCAGAGTGTCTAATTCTTTTAAAACCTAGACTCCCACAATCCCCATTTGGTACTCTTACAAACCACAGTGCTTTCTTATGCATCTTCTTATGCAACAATTCTGTACTGAAATCTGCAACCTGATCTCCCAGTACTTACACGGTGGGGATGTACTCTCCAGGGAAGGCATTTGTCGTGTAGCTGATCAACAGACAGGTCTTCCCCACAGCCCTGGGAAAAGGGAAAGAGAGCCTCAAAAACAGACACAGTAGTATGGTAGTGGGTGGTGGAACCTGGAGGACAAATATGTGCTATGGATCCCAGGTCACGTGATCAGGTCTAGATACCTAAGTTTCTGTGTTGGGCTCAGTATGCCAAACAAACTTTCAACAGAACCCCAGTTCAATTCATCATTAGTTCAAGTTTAAAACATTACTGGATGGACTACCAGGACAGAATCCACCTAAAAAGTGAGCACTCATCAATAAATCAAAGAGTAGACATTCAAGTTCTGAATCATTATGCAGAATGACAGTTTACTCTTTGTTATTTTAGTCCAACTTGTCAGCATGCCTCCTTACTGGTCACATACCCATCTCTCTCCTGGTTTGATCAAGAAGAGACAATTGCCTGGCTTGGCAGCACCAAAACTGTAGGCACAGGTGGCAATTTCACCAATGTGATCACAAGAAAACGTCGTGTTCGAGGCAGATACCAGCAACAGAAAAGAGCGGCATACTGCATAGATGAGGACACTTGTGACAACGTCTCAGGAGGTTGTTACACTCCCTGTTCTTTTTGTTCCACATATATCCTGCCCCCCCCCCACGCTTCTATTCTATTTTCACAAACTGATTACCTAATGATCAGCACTAGCATTTTTGACTGACAAACTAAAGGATGGGGAGAGAGACCCATCACTTGTACTCACAGCAATTTGTTGCCATGTGCAGCATTTTTCCCTGCACGCCTCATTGATTCCTCACCATTTCCCCATTTCACTGAGTATGGCTCTGAGGTTTAACTTAACTCTTCCTCAATCAAAATTCTGGACAGACTGCATTAAAGACCTAATGGCAAGTGTCTTAGCATTTTGCGATCTAGTGTCTTGTTATCCTCTGTCATTCTATACTGCATCCTGACTAAGCAGGGATGTGGAACTTGTAGCCTGCATCCCTAATCCGCCCCTTACAGATTCTACATTCAGCCTGGGGCACCTCCATGGGTTCTTTCAGGGGGCAGGACATGGCCTCCAAGCCTCTCTCCCCCTCTGGACAACTCACCTGTTATGACTGACAAAACAATTGGGAATCCCCCTGAGCTCTGTTGCCCCTCCCCACTGGGTCACACCCACTGACATCATCCAGTCTGCAAAGGGGGCCTGGCGGGAGGCAATTTGGTTCCCAATTATTTTTGTTCTGCATTCATGATTCCAAGCAATCACATACATTATCTCAGTGATCCTAATCGCCACCACTACTGCGAGGAAGACCAATGCTCTGCTTGGGACAGGAAGCCTGAAACTCAAGAGTCTGGGGCAGTGGGGTATAAACTTGCAAGGGCAGGAATTTACATGTATTTATAGGCTGCCTATAATTGCAGAGGCCTTCCTAGGCGGATGTAGACAAGCAAAGAAAAACAGGTGCTTTGCACAAAATGGGTGTGTGTTGTGCACTCACACTGAGATTCTCTGCATGGAAGAGTGGTCGGTCCCCTGAGGTTATCCACCAAGTTCACAGCTAAGGTGATACTTGAATACATGTCACACTTTTGATGGATCACATCTGCACTGTAGCCTTCTTCTAAGGAGCTGCTGGGTCATACACGGAGTCTTCCCCTTTCTCCCTTATAATAATTCAATAGGGCAGGATAGCAACTGACCCAAGACCACCTACTCAGCTTTGCAAGCAGGGATTTGAACCCAGGACTGTCTGCTCCAACTCCAACTTGTTATCATCACTGCCACGCATTCTGTAGCCATCGCATCAAGTGACTCCTAAATTCTGCAACATTCATTTTGTGAAAATGCCTTTGCGGGTCCAATCATTTCATGCGCCCGGAAACCATCTCTGGTTGAATCTCTCCTTTTCCTGACACCCACCAGGATCAGCTTGCGAAGCTACCTTTTCACACATCCTCCTCGTTGGAGGTAATGCTTGCCCACCCCACAGCTGGAGTATTGGAAAATCAGGAAAAAGGAAAGTCATGGCTTCGTTTCAGGGTGAAGAAGGGCTGGGCATCTGAGATTCTGCTCTCTCCCAGCGCCGGGCATTGGTGGAGCTGGTGTTCCTTTACCCTGGAAGCAAGGCGGACCCGTCTAACCTTCGAACTCACGCGGGGAAGCGCATCTCTCCCAACTCTCTAACACAATGGCCGTGATGGGCTTTGGGATCGGACCACAATGCATTCAGCGGCCGCCCCGGCCCTCTTCCTAGCTGGCACGGAACTGGGTGAACAGCGAGCGACTCCTTCGCTAGACCCATCAAACCACATGGCGAGCGGGGGGGGGCAAAGACACGGGGGGAGAGTCGGCAGCTCTCCCTTGAGACTGCAGCAGGCGGGCGGAGCGTGGGGACAGAAGAACGGGGGGACGGGCAGCCTTCTATCGGGGTCGGGAGCGGGAATGGTGGGGGCGACGGGTTGGTTGGGCCAACAATAGGTGGCGGGGCGGGGGGCGAGATGCCTGCCAAGAGATGAATGGGTGTGTGCTCGGACCTCCGAGCTGCGGGAACCTAGCAGCCCCCGCCACCCCTGGAGCCTCCCGGAGCGGCAGCGCGCCGGGGAAGCGGCAATGCACCACCACCCGCCGCCCGCTCGGGAGCCTTCATGCGCTCGCGGCTGCGCCCCACCCTTGCCTTGCCCAGCCCAGCCCAGCAGGCGAGCGGCACATGGGCTGCCGCACGGGCCGAGCGCCAACTTCGCCCCCTCCTCCCTCCTCCGGCCCTGCCCCGCCCCGCCCGCCCCGCCCCGGTGGCGATCATGCCCGCCGACGCCGCTCACCCGTCCCCCACGACCACACACTTGATGGCCTGCATCTGCCTCGGCAGCAAGGCGGGCTGCGATGGCGGCGGCGGCGGCGGCGGCGCCGGGCTCGGTGCCTTCTCCTTCCTTGCCGATGGATGCCGCCCGCAGCCGCAGTGAGCGAGGACGCCACACAGAGAGCGCGCGAGCGAGGGAGCGAGCGAGCGAGAGAGCGAGCGAGCGGCGGGCGGAAGCGAGGAGCCCGGAGCCGGGCGGGGCCGGGGGCGGGGAGTGGGAGGGGGACGGAGCCGAGCCGGAGCGGGCGCTCGGCGGCCCCTCCCCGCCGCTCTGCGCCCCTCGGGAGGCGAGCCGCGGGGAGACGCGACGCAGGGCGGGCCGCCCGCCCCGCCGCGCGATCTCCCCGGAGCTGAGGTCCCGGCCTGGGAGCAGCCCTCGGCGGGCGTGGCGTGGCGTGGCCGCCTTGCGCAGCCCGGGCTCCGCCGGCGAGGCGGGGAGGGCCGTCAGACCCTTTGTGTCCACTCAGCGCAGCCGGCTTGCGAGCGCAGCGTGGCGGGGAGGGACGGGCGCCTGGCCCCGGGCCCCTCCTCCGCCGGCACCCTCTGGGCCGAGAAGGGGCGTCGCGGTGCGTGCAGGCGGGCGGCTGCAAGAGCTCGCGGGGCGCGCTTTCCTTTGTGTGAGCGTCGGACCGGCAGGCGAAGCTTCATCTGGCGAGCTCCTGCCTTTCGTGCAGCCGCGGTGGCGGTGTAAGCCTTACGGCAGTGGGGTGCGGGTGCTCCGGCTTCCGATCGGGGGCTTCCCGCTTGGGGCTGCCCTCACGCTTGTCGTTCTCCCCCTCATTAGAGAAGCCTCTCCTCAAAGCGTGCGTACTGGGAGTAAGAGGGCTAAACTGAAGTATATTGGTGCTTTTGGCTTGCCCGTTTTGCCTTCGGCCCCTCTCACCACAAGAGGAAGCACTGCCTGTTGTTTAGTCGCGAAGTCCTGCCCGACCCATCACAATCCCATGGGCAACATTCCTCCAGGCTCTCCTGCCCTCCACCATCCCCCAGAGTCCACCGAAGCCCACACCAACTGCTTCAGTGACTCCATCTAGCACTTCATCCTCTGCCATTCCCTTCTCCTTTTGCCCTCAATCGTTCCTAGCGTCAGGGTTTTCTCCAGTGAGTCCTCCGTTCTTATTAGGTAGCCAAAGTAGTTGAGTTTCATCTTCGGTATCTGGCCTTCTAAAGAGCAGTCAGGGTTGATCTCCTCTAGGACTGACCGGTTTGTTCTCCTTGCGGTCCAAGGGACTCGCAGGAGTCTCCTCCAGCACCACAATTCAAAGGCCTCAGTTCTTCGGCGCTCAGCCTTCCTTATGGTCCAGCTTTCACAGCCATACATTGCAACTGGGAAAACCATAGCCTTGACTATACGCACTTTTGTCGGCAGGGAGATGTCTCTGCTTTTTAGTATGCTGTCTAGATTCGCCTTACCTTTCCTCCCAAGGAGCAAGTGTCTTAATTTCTTGGCTGCAGTCCCCTTCTGTGGTGATCTTGGAGCCCAGGAAAATAAAATCTGTCACTACCTCCATTTCTTCCCCATCTCTTTGCCAGGGAGTGATAGGACTGGATGCCATGATCTTAGTTTTCTTAATGTTGAGTTTCAAGCCACCTTTTGTGCTCTCCTCTTTCACCAGCATCAAGAGGCTCTTTAGTTTCTCTTCACTTTCTGATGCACTTCCTAGCTGAAAGTAATTTGAAGCTGCTGCCTTATGGTTTTGGTCAACGGCTAGCCTTACAAAGAACTACTGTAGAGTTGATTTTTAGAAGGGGCTTCTTCAGCTGTGATTTCTAAATTCTATCAGCAACCATTTTTGGTACGAGAAGCAAGGACTGGAAGATGCTAATATGGTGCATTTGGTTTAGTGGGAGAACACCTGCTTCTTATACAGAAGCTGCCGGCACCCATCTCTAGCATCTTCAAGCAGAGGTAACAAAAATTTCCTGCCTGAAACTCTGGAAAGGCACAACTCATCCGTGTTGGCTACACTGGGCTAGAGGGACCAAGGGCCTGACTGATGTGAGGCAGCTTGCTGTGTTCTTTCCTGCCTGCCCTCCCAGGTAGGCTACTAACACATGCTATAGTGCAGCCACCCCTGCAGTGCCTCTGGGGTGACAGAATTGGGCCTGGAGTTTCCTGTGGTCTGCTAGCATCTGAAATCACACTGCTCCATCCAGCAGCATACTGCGGGGCTAGTTAAATGCCCGAATACAGATAGTGTATTCTGTATACAGGAATTGCTCTCAAATGAACAGGCTGCTAGAGCCAGCTGCCAGGCTGGCAAAGAGAACCACCCGTCCGTTTCCTTGCCCTGGAGGCCAGTTCTCCTCTGGAGGCAAGCACAGCTCTCAGCACCAACAAGAAGCTGCCAACAGGGATTTCTGTCTTCCCAATTGGTTCTGCTTACTTGGCTAGAAGAGGCACAGATGCACCAAAACGGGGAACTGTTGCCAGCCCTTGAAGATGCATTTGCCAGGCTTGCTAACTGCGAGCGAACATTTCTAGAAAATATTTTACTTGCTTGTTTTTATCTTAAGCTCCATCAAACACCAGGTTCTGGCATTCCCAGGGACTGGGTGAATTACTGATGGCTTCGAGATTGAACTAGAGATGGTACTTCCTGCAGACGGCGTATGTGGAAGAGGACCTCCACATATGCTGTGATGCTCCTGTGCAAGTTACAGTTCAGGAGCCCATTTAGGAGGGCAGCTTTATCCTTTGCCTAGTAGGTTGGGCTGCGAGCGAAAGAGACCAGAAGGCACAGCATGGCTTTTGGCAAGTAGCCCTCTCTCGCCCTGAGCATCTCTTCCCCACCCCAGTTATATTTCCAGTCAAGGGACTACGTAGTTCTACTAAAGCACTGAGTATTGATGCTAAATATTAGATAGCCAATCAGGCACAATCCCTTGCATAAATGGTGACCTGCGTTGATAACATTGCTATGGACATTACTAAAAATGTAACAGCACAAACACTGTATAAAAACTGTAGCCACAGCAGATTTATTTATTTATTTAGGAGACTTCTATGCCGCCCCATTCGCCGAAGCCTCTGTTGGGGTTGGTTGCTTGGTTGCTGTTATTTTGACAATTTAATCTTCAGTGCATCCCGGAGAGGGCCCATTAAACCTTTCCTTCAAATCTGAAACGCTTTTGCCCCTTCCCCCGCTTTGTGCCTCTCTTTTTCTTGAAGGGGCTTTAGTTCCTTTATTGTAAAACAGAAATAGCCAGCATATTATCATTATTATAAGAACCAAGATAGTTGAGCGACTTAAATGCCTCTAGAGCAGTGGTGGCGAACCTATGGCACGCATGCCACAGCGGGCACACAGAGCCCTCTCTGTCGGCAGGCGAGCCAAGTCTTGCCTCAGCAGCTGAGCATCAGATAACTGTGCAGGTACGGGCCATGTGCATGCCTGGAAAGAAGTTGCGGTGCCAGGTGATGGTGTCACAAACCATGACCGATTAACCGCAACTCGTTCGAGCTTTCGCATGGCCGGTCAGTGCACTGCCAAGGATATATATTTTTTGCTTGGACTGGCTGTGAGCTGTTTTTTCTAAACTAAAGCCTCAGTTCTCAGGTTTTATTGTAGTGCTGGCACTTTGCGATAAATAAGTGGGTTTTGGGTTGCAGTTTGCACGTTCGTTCTCTAAAAGGTTCTCCATCACTGGGTTAGGGTTAGAAAAACATGGTGACCTGGCACGATTTTCATGGTTGGAATGTGTTTAGAATGGGTAGAAATGTTGATCTGTGCAGAATCAACTACTCAAGGAAGGGTTTTTCAGAAACACCCTCTTTTCAATGGAACTTTCGCCCAGTATGAGGGTTAAGGGTGTGCACCAGCGTAGGGTTGGGGTTACAAAAATGAGGTGTCCTGGCATGATTTTGATGGTTGGAATGTGTTTAGAATGAGCAGAAATGATGTGCTGTGCAGAAACAGCTACTCAGGGAAGGCTTTTTCAGAATCTCCCTCTTTTCAATGGAACTTTCGCCCAGTATGAGGGTTAAGGGTGTGCACCAGCGTAGGGTTGGGGTTACAAAAATGAGGTGTCCTGGCATGATTTTGATGGTTGGAATGTGTTTAGAATGGGCAGAAATTATAAGCAGTGCAGAAAAATCTACTCATGGAAGGCTTTTCCAAAATTGCCCCTTTTCCGTGGAACTTTCGCCCTATATTAATGTTAGGAGTGAGCACAGCATAGGGTTGGGGTTGCAAAAACAAACTCTCCTGGCATGATTTTGATGGTTCGAATGTGTTTAGAATGGGCAGAAATGATGCGCTGTGCAGAAAAATCTACTCATGGAAGGCCTCTCCCAAATTACCCCCTTTTCAATGGAACTTTCGGCCAGTATTAGGGTTAAGAGTGTGCACCAGCGTAGGGTTTGGGTTAGAAAAATGAGGTGTGCTGGCATGATTTTGATGGTTGGAATGGATTTAGAATGGGCAGAAATGATGAGCTGTGAAAAACCAGCTACTCAAGGAAGGCTTTTCCAAAGTCACACTCTTTCCAATGGTATTTTAGCCATATATTAGGGTTAGGAGTGTGCACCAGCGTAGGGTTCAGGTTACAAAAACTAGGTGTGCTGGCATGATTTTGATGGTTGGAATATGTTTGGGATGGGCAGTAATGATAAGCAGTGCAGAAAAATCTACTCAAGGAAGACGTTTTCAAAATTGCCTGATTTTCAATGGAACTTTCGCACTAGATTAGGGTTTGGGGTATGCTCCAGGGTACGGTTAGAGTTAGAAACACGTGGTGTCCTGGTATGATTTTGATGCTGGGAATTTATTTAGAATGGGCTGAAATGATATGCTGTGCAGAAAAATCTACTCATGGAAGGCTTTTCCAAAATCACCCTTTTTCCATGGAACTTTCGCCCTATATTAATGTTAGGAGTGTGCACAGCGTAGGGTTGGGGTTACAAAAACGAGCTCTCCTGGCATGATTTTGATGGTTCAAATGTGTTTGGAATGGGCAGAAATAATGAGCTATGCAGAAACAGCTACTCAGGGAAGGCTTTTTCAGAATCTCCCTCTTTTCAATGGAACTTTCGCCCAGTATTAGGATTAGGGGTGTGCACCAGTGTAGAGTTGGGGTTACGAAAACGAAGTGTCCTGGAATGATTTTGATGGTTGGAATGTGTTTTGAATGG